GCTAAAGGAATGGAGAAAAATACATTAGTAATGTTAATAGTGATGTACCGCTTTGCTGCCTTGGACTTTAGTTTGAATTGGAGTTTTAATATGTTTGGTACAGTAGCTCTTAAAGGTGGAGTTATTTCATTTAAGGCACAATAGTTTACAGTCAATCTATTTTCTTTCAGATTTTTGTATAGACTACATGTGGCTGTGCAAGGATGAGTGGTTTTTGTTGACTACTCTTTGGATTTTTAGTTTACAGATTATTTTGTGGATGGGGATTACAGTATTTTAAGTTGTTCTGTACTGTTGGTGGTGTATTGTTGAAGTGGCAATTGGTATTCGTTGCTCTTCTGCTTTCAGGAGTCTTATTGAAGATGGTTCTGATAGTCTAGGTAAGGAGTTTAATTGCTTGATATCTTTTGTATTTATAGCTGTTATCTTAAATGCTCACTTGAGTCTCTTTGGGTCTTTGAAATACTTATTTCATAGGAAGTCTCTACCCAAAATGCATGGCGCTTTTGGGCTGGTTACAATAGGGTGTTTCTTTTATTTATTTCTAGTCAGGTTCACTTTAGCTTCTATTAAAGTTAAATTTTGTGATCCTCCAATCACATTAGCAATAGAAACAGATTCTGCCCCCGCAGGTTTTGATGGGATTAATGTGCGTGGTGCACTACTGTTTACTAAGGCTTCATATTTTTGTGGTTTTGATATGTTAGGCTAATGAATCTACACAGTCTAAAACCCACAGTTTTTCCTTACCTCTCCCTGGCTAGAGGCAGGGCTTCTCTAAGCTTGGTTTTTTCCCCCAGACATATATTTTGGAGGTCCTTTGAGGGGATCAGACGTTGTCATTATCATAATACATGGCAGTTTGGTTATGGGTTATTTGAGCTGCTTTTTTTTTGGTGGAATTTTTCTCTGAGATTTGCTGTTTTTTAATTCACACACCCATTGTGTTAAAGTAGCAGTAGATTTTCTATCTTATCTCTTTATGTTTTCTTTACAATTACACAGGAAGAACTACAGCTCAGCTCATGAGGTGTACCTTCTCTCCCCATCTGCGGGATGTTTACTTGTGGTACTAGAACCTCTGATCTGTATTGTTGAGATTTGGAGAAGGTCTTTTTTAATCTCCTTTCTGAGTTTTTTGTGATTTTATTTTATCTTTTGATTTCTACATATGTCTTTTTAAAGCGGTGATTCTTGTATGTGTTGGATTATGTACGGTATTTGCATGTTTGGAGCTTCTTCACCATATTAAGTACGGTCTCCTCCCTGTCATCCCACTTCATTATTGCTAAAGCAGAAGTGTATCTTTGTGGTCTAAGTCATATAAGTTTTCGCAACACCACAGATGTATAGGTACTAAGTCTGGATTTACAGTATCTAGGTTATTTAAGAAGACAGTATCTGCTACTGCCATTTCTCTCAAGCGTGGAATCTCTTGTTTTATGGTCTTCTATTAGGTTTGTTGTATATAGAGATTGTCAGCACACAGATGTCTTTGTCACACACTTCTCAGGATCTGTGCCCGAGACTGTGAGAGTCAGCTCCCTTCATTATTCTTTGGTTGATAACTGGATTATGTGACAGGGATCCCAAATGCCTCACTTCAGTACCATCCAGAATTGTAGCCTTGCCTGCAGCATCTCAAAGATGGACTAACTAACTAATTATAGATTTATCAGGTCGTTGAATGTAATTATTTCTTAGGTTATGAAGGTCTTATAGGGAAAAGGACTCAAGAGTGACCTCTCTGACTTTGTTTTTGGTTTTGAGGATCTTTTCTTTGGATCATCATTTTCTACTGGTTGATTGGTTTTAAATGTGTGTTTTCCGCCTGTCATGGCAGGAGCAACAGGTATTGGTTGAGGCTTATTGTTTGGTTTAGATGCGAGCTTAGGCTCACTGTCTGGTTTAGCTACAACCTGAGTAGCTGGGGTGTTGCCTGTAGTCTGAGTGACTGGGGTAGTTGTTGATTTATCTCTTTGCTCTTCTGCCTCTATCTGTTGCCTTACAGTATCTAGCAGTGTGTGGCTTAGGCCAGGGCCCAGTTTATTGCAATGATCTTTTTCTCTTTAGAGTCATCATGACAGTTTTAGATATTTCCATTCTTCATCTGGGTTCTGAATTTGTTCATGTGAAAATTCCCAGGCTGGAGGATCAGAAAATTCCTTCAGGGCTGGACTCATTCTCTCTCCTTGTCCACAACACTCAGGATTTTCTACACCTGGGTCTATTTCTGGGTCAGGGGTCTCATCAGTTCTTCTGGACATCTCAGCCCTCACTCTAGACAAGCTGTAAACTATATAGAGGAACTTCATTAGATTAAATATTAAGGTGGTTTCTTTAACATTTAGGGGAAATTGAATATTCTTAAAAAGTGACTTAAGAGATTCGAAGGAATAAAAAGGAAAGGCTGAAAAGCCTCATCCCCTGCTCCTCCTCTAACAAACTGGGTGCAATTACTAATAAACCCCTAAAACATGTTATTGGAACTAGGATGCAGCGTAGGATGAATAAACCATAAACCATACTTATCTTGACCAGAATCTGGTACCTTTGTGTTGTTATAGAGCACGACACAGTACAAAGTACCACAACTGCATCAGAAGGGTTCAAGAGAGATTTATTACAGCAACATGTTGCTTTTATACTTTTTCAAGATATTTACATTCTTCCAAAATACACATTCACTGCTCATTGGTTATAGGAAAGAAACAAAGTTCTCAGTGGGTGACCAAGGAGCCACGTCATCCTTTGAGCCAGCTAGAGTCTGTATCTCTTAATTTTCTCTCCTTCATCACGTCTCCATGGTGACAACCTTGGTGTCTTCCTCAGGAGAGATATGGGGCTTTCCTTTATCTTCAGGAGGCCTTTGCTGGCTCACAAAAACAGCACAGAATGTCTCTCCTACACTTTTGTAAACTCTGTATAAATCATTATTACAGAGGTTAGCAAAATAGCTATTCTGTGTTCCTGTACTGTAAAAACTATGTGTTAGGGAGAATATTGGCGTTCTTTTTGGATAAGAAAATAATCCTAGGGACCAGAAAGGTATTAAAACCTCAAGAAAACTAAGGGATCAGAAATACATGAAGACCTCCACCCTGAGAGACATTATGAATTTCAGCAACATGGTTACTGACTGCTTTATCACAATATAGAGTAAGTACAACTAAAATGTAATAGTACAGGATTCTTCCACTTTCTGGAGCCCCACATTGAGTGTTAATAACTGTATTTGTCTTGGTTTAGGGTAAGGCAATTGGGCAATTTTGGGAGAAAAACCCCTAAAGGTGTTTCATCTAGAAAGCAAATTCAAGTGGCCCCTCCCCCACCTGGTTCAGGAAAAAATTTCTTTGGAGAAAAGTGGAAAAAGCTGTTTACTTAACAGGCAAAGCATTCACTAGTACAAAAAATGAACAATATTAAACAATAAAACTTCTTGCCACTTCAAAAGAAATTACAAACTCCAAGAAGTCCCCTTCGTGGGCTGTAGCTTGGCTCACTCAGTCTCTTATCAGTCCCTCCAGCACTAGAAATGCCACTGGCCAGGCCCGGCCTGGTGGGCCACAGGTGTGAGCTGCCGGTGCTCCTCTAGGTGTTCCGTCCAGAGCAGGTTTAAACAGGTCCAAAGAAAAGACAAACCACAGTCCAGGGAACTTCACTGCCTCAGCTAGTTAAAACTAACTAAAAGCAAAGGAGAACTCTGTCCTGCAGTCTGTCCATCCGCAGACAACATAGTCCAGTCACGGGCATATGGAGGAGTACAGTGTCTGAAAACAAACTGCACGCTTCTTCTCTCCCCTCCCTCGCTCTCAGAACAAGTCTTAAAGGTGCAAAGCTTATTATTCAGCATAATAGAACAGACGGTTGGAGATATAAGCATTATATTGCCAACCCAGGACACCTCATCACTCTCTACAACTTCCTGAAAGATGATTGTAGGATGATTGTAGTCAGGTGAGGGTCAATCTCTTCTCCCAGGCAACAACTGACAGAATGTGTGGACAGTCATAAGCTGCGCCAAGGTAAGTTTAGGTTAGATGTTAGAAATTCCTCACTGAAAGAGTGATTGCGTGCTAGAGTCATCTGCCCAGGGAGATGGTGGAGTCACCACCCCTGGACATGTTTAAAAAAGACTGGAGATGGCACTTAGTGGTTGATGAGGAGGTGTAAGGTCATAGGTTAACTAAATGATCTTAAAAGTCATTTCCAACCTAGTTCATTCTGTTATTCTGTGACCATCAAAAGCTTTTTGGAGACAGGCTTGTAACTGTATGTGAAGCCCCAGGAGACAAGTTGCGCCAAGTACTTGGCTTTCTCCTACTTGATGCTTAAACCATGTCAGAATTCATTCTATTCTAGTCAAAGTATGGCAACAAGATGCAGGTTTTATTTAGAAAACAGAGGCAATTCTCAGTAGCAAACATTTAGACATCTCTAGGATGATGTGGCAGCTGAAGGAATTTGAGCAATTTGAGACTAAAATTCAAAATAATCAAACTCCAGCCCATTTGCATAAATATCTATCTTATTTTCTTTCTAACTCCCATTACCTACCTATTTGTTTTATTACGCTTCAGAATGTTTTTTTCAAAATTTCAACTTAAATAGTCCAAAAAGTAATTTCATAATGTGAGTTGCATTAAATTGAATGCAATAGATGGGCTCAGAGCACCTGAAATCATTAGCATTTCATGGATTTCCTGAACAGTTAAACGAGTTTCAGAATTTTGCAAAACAAGACTTCAGCCTATTCAGGCCAGTAACAGTGTAATCGCAAACCCTGTCTCTGAAGAAATCCTTCTTGCTAATTTGTCCATCTTTTGAGAGTAGTCTCTGACTTTTCTTGAAGTGAAAAATTAGGTATAGAGGGAAGAATGTAAGCTAAATGGTGATACTCCAAAGTGTTTTAACCATGTAATTCCAGCTTCTTTATAACAAATCTTCAGGTATTCTGGACTGGTTTCCACTCATACATGCAGTTTCATTAATTTTACAGCATGTAATTTCATTAGTCATTTCAAACTGGAAAACTCACAACTGCTTTGGTCTTATTCTAGTGTCCAGATAAGAAATCCTTTTTGTTCAAAACAGGCAGGTGAAAGCAGAAGCTAGGACAGACCATACATCAGTATCAGAGGGTTTGATAAAATGACTAGAGATTAACTTTAAGCAGTCTAGAGTCCAACATTTTTTTATTTTATGAAGAAATAATTCACACTGAAAAATATTTCCTACTATATGTCGAGAGGCAAAATCATCCTGGAAAATACCCTAGTGGCGTACCACATAGCCTAGCCCAAAGATGCTACTTTTTGTAGAAACAAAGTTAAATAAAAGGCATGTATGTCCAAAATTTGTATTCCAGCAAGGGACTGAGTAAACAATCAAATAATTCTGCCAGTAGAACAAGTTAGGATTCAGACACTCTAAAAATAACTTCTAGTATGAAAGCAACTAAACAAGAAAAATAGATAAATATATTTTTTTCTTTAACAACTTATTCCAGTATCCTGTTCATCTACACATAGACAAAGTTACACTGCTCTCCAATATTTATGACAAGTTTCTTTTCTTGGAGTCAATACATATCAGGGATTTTTCAAGTATCAAATGATACTGTTATGAACTCAGAAGCCTATAGTCAGAATTACCCTTATAAATAAACTATTATAGATTTTTACTGTCTTCTGTATTTGAGTCAGGAGCACTGCTAGAGCTGAGTATTTTAATCTAACATGAATTTTGACTGTTAGCATTTTGTCTAGCCTTGTATTGTTGACAGTAATGTCTTAGCAGTTAAGACAGTTTTTCATGTTTTAGTTTAGGAATATGAGAAGGCATGGAGGAAGTGAAACCTTGAACATTTCCTGATACAGATAGTTTTGGACAAGCCACACACTCAATATTTGTGTGAGAACAAAAAAAAAGCAAAAATCTGCAAATGATGATAGAAACCTGTAAATCCCTGTTTTAATGGCTATTTTGAACAAAATGGGACTTTAGTATTTTGAACAAATATTGAGATGGATAAAGCATTCCATATACTGAAAATCACTATCCTTTATGGATATCAACATTTTATAGCTTTTTAAATATGGTAAATTTGACACTGTGTGTGGGAGTTACAAGTATTTTTTGATGAATGATGAGTGATTAGTACTTAACAGAAGCAAACACCTTCAGAGTATCAATTACAAAATTTTACTTATTCCAATGCAGTTTGATTAGGCAGGCAGTAGAGAGGGACAGAGAATTAAAATCAGTTATATGTTTCCAGTACACACAAAAATTTTTCTTACATAAGCAGAATATTTCTCATGAAAATGGTTTGAGGGTAGGTTGAATTTTTTTTTTCATTTGGTTTTAAATTAGTATAGTTTTATATTTTTTTGCTTGGAAAATTCTGATATTTCTCCTGTGAATCTCACATACTTCAAATGCCAGCGTTTTATACAAATTCTAAAGGAAATGGGTGTTTCTATTTGCTGTGAAGATTTTTGGGTTGCAATATTTTTGCACTGAAGCATCTGTGATTCTCTACTCACTTTGTTTCCTACTTTGTTTTTTTATTCGTTCTGTTTCCCATTTCCTTTAGTTTTCAGATTTATGATCCATACTTTCTTTTATTGTCAACCTGTGTTTTCTTTTGACTTCTTCCACTTGAGATATTTTGTACTCATTTTAGTGCAAGAAGGGTAAATGAAGGCTACACATAAAATCTTCAAAGGCTTCACAATCACCAAAATGTGCAGAGTCCCAGACATCATACAGTTTCAACCTGAGGCAAATTGGAAGCCTTCATGACAGACATCTGTAGCAATGCCTATTGTGCACAGATATCACCAATTCTATTAGATTATTTTTCATTGACTGAATTGTCTGTGGTAAGCTCACTGAGATCCAGAGTGCAAGCAGCTATAGCTGCAACTGAAATCAATGGCCAATTTGCTCTACACAGTTTCACCTCAGAGGAGAGAAACTCACAGAGGGCTAGGAGACTCCACTGGTAGTCATACTTAGAAGAGGCACAAAAATCACAATGCATATCAGCACCACAAAACTCTGTCAGAAGCTAGGTCCCATTACAATAAGAATCTGCATTAGCAAAGCTCACCCCCTTCACATGGGCACAACCACAGAGTGAAAATACAAATTTTCAATAGTTTTTTGAATCTACTTCCCAAGCCTCTAAAGCATACCAGAAACTTTTGGAGGGATGTCCAGAACTGCAATGTTATGGACAATTCATTCAGTGAAATTACCTCAACAGGCAATTTCCTGCTGCCCCCCAAAACAGTATTTATATAAGCTAGAAACACAGTTAACTCTGGGTTATTTAAAAGGTCAACAAGAACACAATAGTATTCATCTCTTTTATTATGAAAGATACAAAAACGGAGTGTAGTGAAGCTATCATTAAGAACATGAACTTTTTTTTAACCAACTCTCTATTTACATACACAAAATTCTCCAAGTGGAAAAAATATCAAATGTGAGACACATCAGAATACACCATATATACAAGTTTAGATATTTAGTATGTTACTCCATACATGATAGCTACAAAAAAAGTCAATTCCTACCTGTTTTCCACAAGTATTTTAAATTAAGTTTATAAGATAACCCAAGCAAAATGAAGCAGAATCTGGGGAATGCTCTGCTATCTGAATGGTTACTTTATAAAAATGGTAAAAAATAATAGAGCCAAGTTTTCAAGTCACGCTGAATATTCTGTCAAATAGTCCATACTCCAAACTGATGTAGGTAGAAAAATGAAACCTGTTACTGATTTTTATTGTCATCAAAACAGAAATATATCAGGAGTTCAAGATGCACTCATTTTCAGATCACTAATCAGCTACTAGGAAAAGCAAGTATTTTTGTTTATTTTATAAAAACTCTTCCTTCAAACAGAAAAGCCAAATAAAATACTTGACCTTGCTTTGTATGATCAGACATTCTTATTAAAAGCATGAAATACAAGAAGACACACCACTTGGTATGGTTTTTAACTGGAACCAACTACTGCTTAATTGGTAAGGCACTTTTTCCTTTAGATCAGTCCACTTCCCTACATTTTAGTATAGCTCCATTTCACACAGAGCGGTGATTTCAGCTATGCCATCTGTGATAGCAGAAGGGATGTTGTCATGAACTTTTGCTCTCCAGGTATGGATGGCCTCAACAATACCTTCTGGATTGCTTGAACCCAAGTCACATAGTGAATATACGGCTGCCAGCTGCACACCCCAAGGAATAGCTGCAAAAAGTTAACAAAAATCAGCTTCTAGAAACTTTTTGATAAGCAAAAATGTTTTAGGGAATCTTGAATCTATAGAAACTGTTATTCAAGAACTGAAAATAAAACACATCAACAGTTGTGATGTCTAACACCATAATGTAGAAAGATGACAACGTGCACACAAATTCTGTAACATCTCATTTTATACTAACGCTTTCCAGTTTTCTCAATTCAGCAACTTTTTAGTACTCAAAGGGCATACAGGAATTGAGAATCTAGTGACTTATAGTTAAGAGTAATCAGACTTAAGAAAGCAGTCAGGTTTACAGAGTCTGAAAAACAGACATACACTGCACACCATACACTACCAAGTTAGAACTTGAGATTGCAAGGAAGAGAAGTTATACAGGTGGTTCAAAACAGCTCCCAAACAATAACAAATGCTTCACTGCAAAATGTACTTAACATCCAGAGTAACTTAACAATGTGGATTTCTGCTGCTGTAACTGCCTTGTTTCATCTCATCAGTACCTTGAACTGTCCTTCTCCCAATACAACAATTTTATTAGTAAGCTTCACCATAAATTGCTCGGGTAAAAAATTAGTTATTGCTGCTCAAGTCAGAATCACCCTTCAAGTGATCTTAACATGATCACCCTTTAAGTGATCTCTAATGCAGCTGACAGGCTCTTACATGAAACAGTCCAATTCCAAGGTGTCTGAAACCATCTCACATTTTTTCTCTGTCTCAAACAGAAGGTAATACTGTTAATAGCTCATTAACTTTGTAACAGAAAGGGACTCAAACTGAAAACTGTTTGACCTGTTATACACTAATGAAAACTGCAAGAGCAGGCTGTTTTCCCATGTGTGCCTTAATTTATATTCTGGCATTGCAAAACTTCACATTGTGGATGTTACACTCAAGTTTCTCTAAAAGAACATTACCTTCCTCTTTTGCATGCTGTACAAACAGTCCAATTACTGAACTAATATTCTTCACTGCAGCAAGACAGCCTTCCTTCAAACCTATTTGTCCTAATCGACCTGAAAGGAAAAAAGTGTTACTACATATCTGACTATTTAGACAGTCAACTTCCCAGCTTTTATACTTCCCAACTGTCTGTCTGTTGAAGTATCAACAGAAAATGCAAATTTTAACTACAAAAAATTCCTGTTACCATGTTGTCTTGGGAACAACAGTTGTCTTATTCCTTGTGTAACTAAAGACCCCAAGGCATTTTTCATCAGATTGATTCAACCTCCTATAGGTTTAAAATTTTTTAGTGTAAAACTCAGAAAGAATGCAATTTTTAAAATAAACCCTGTCATATAGCCTACATACTGAAAATATTTATTGAAACTCAAATTATATATATTTACATCAAATGCCACCTAGATCCCAAGTAAATTAATCTAACTTAAATTTATTATGGTATTACATTGCATAAAAAAACCCGCATTTTATACATTTTGCTGGAAACTATATGGCATGAAGCTGTGTCATGGGAGGTTTAGGTTAGCTGTTAGAAAAATGTTCTTCACCCAGAGGTTTGTTAGGCACTGGAACAGGCTCCTCAGGGAACTGGTCACAGCACCAATCCTGTCTGATTTCAAGATGCATTAGGCATGTGGTGTGATTCCTGGGGCTGGCCTGTGCAGGGTAGGAGTTGGACTTCAATGATCCCAGTGGGTCCCTTCCAACTCGGGATTTCTATGATTCTCTATGTGGCTACAGATAATTTTATTTTAAATACATAAAACATGTTGGTATTTGTTATCATGAATCAATATGACATCTCTGAAAACTTAAGTACCTTCTTTCCACAGGCTGATAAACAGAAAATACCTGCATAAAGATCCAATAAAATTCAATAATACTTCAACCCCCTTTCCAGACAGGCCTGACACTTTCATAAAGACATACTTGTACAAAACAGAAGTTCAACCAAGAATTTAGATTACTTACCAATTAGCCTGAGTGTCAATGCTATAACACTATCACGAATTGATTGAGCAGTTTCATGCCCCTTTCTCTTCTTTATCCAGTTATCCATAGAAGGCCAAAGCACTTTGCTGTAAAAGAAAAATTAATTGGAAAATCTCATACTGCATGAAGGGGTAGTTATAGTATTCATACACAAATGACTCTTCTATTACTAACTTCACGCAGACTGACTTAACAAATGTATATGAAATCATGTTGCTTTCAAATGTCATGCTGATATGTTCTGTAAGTATCTTATATGAGTGAAAATTCAGTTTGTATGTTACCAGTAGGATATGATGCTTGTTTTTAAACCTAAAATGACCCAAAGTAAGACTTTTTTAATCCTTAAAATTATGCTGATAGACCTAGTTACGTATTACCAGCACAACTCAAGAGACAATCACCTTGATATGGCTTTAATCAAGACTACATATGTTTCACTGAAGCTAATTTGTATTAATTTTGAAAGTATTTCAACAAAAAAATCTTCTTTACTATCTGAAGGTATGGAATTTATATACAAGACGATGATTATAAGTATCACTTATTATATTATGTCACAGATAAACAAATGTCTCCTAAGTCATGTAACCTCTATATAGAAAATCAAGGCTGTCAGATCAGTGTAGCAGTCAAAATGGAGTCTTTCAAACAAGGTTAAGTATGGTAGCAGTCCATATCCTGGATTTTAGGTTCAAAGAAAATTTAAGACACTGACTCTAAGTATTATAATTATTTTAGAATTAAAATCAGACTGAAATCAAGATAATACATTAATGAGTATGGATATATTTCACTTCCAGCATGGAAGGAGTGTTATTTTCATATCAGAAATTCTACCTTCATTTTCTACTGTGGAGGAAGGGGAATTCAACAAGTAAGTTTAGAAGAAGATAATGACTTTGCTTCACTGACAGACAATCTCAAAATCTTATACAGCTATTTTGAAAGCAATTCTTTACTAGAATGGCTCTAACAGGGTTCTTGGGACAATACCATAACATACTACATTTCCTCATTGATCATTTCTCCTATCTTAAAATAATGCACACATACACAGTAATCTAGGTCTCATCAGGCTGAAACATCCTCATTTTCTAAATACCTATGCAACATTTTATTATGTTAAAAGCTAAGTCATAATGAATTTGGGAAACAAAAAAACACCACCAAAACAAACCTCAGAAAAAAACCACAAAGGAAAACATTTGAAAGTCATGATCACACAATACCACAATACCTTATAACATTATCATGTGTCCAATCCCACTTCATATGAGAGCAGAGTAAATCAACAGCAAATATATACTGCCAAGCATCTTCACTGAGATCTTCTCCATACTGCTCATGCAGGTGAAATTCTACTTTTGTACATGACTGCATTTCTAAAAGCAGGTTTGAGACCATAATACCAGCGTCTAAAGATGAACTCTGGAATTTTAGAAGGTAATTATCTTAATGCATAAAAAATTACCAGCCCAGAACCAAACTCTTTACAAATATTTGATACTGACTGTGTACAGCATCTTACACCATATATCCAACTTTTGGGTTGAATTAGCACAAACAAATACAGTACATAAACCAAAACCTTCAAGTACTAGGTATTTTTCCTGACACTTTTACTAAAAGGTGAGTTTGGGAAAAAATACCCAAACAAGAAAAAACACAGATCTCACACCCACTCTCTCATCTCCTCCTACAATTTGGGGATTTTTATTTCTCTCAATGCAGGTAAGAAGTGCTAGCATGGCTAGCTTCCTCCCTCCCCTCCCTTCCTCTTCTCTGTGGCAAGATGGAGAGGAGAGTTTGAGGCACAAAATATAAAGATCACAGGTTGAGAGAAGAACAATTTACTGGAAACAGCAATGAGATAAGAATACAAACAGTAATAACAATAAATACTAATGATGGAGGGTACAAAAGAGAGACCAACAATTCACATGGAAACAACAGTACACAACCTCTCCCTCCACCACACTATGCTGGCCTGGAAGGGACTCATTCTCCCTCGAAAATACTCCCTTCCCCACATCCCTGGTAATGATGTGAGGTGGTACAGAATTAATCTCCAAGTCCCAGCCATGCTCCCTTTTGGCAACTGCAAAAATTAACCCTGTTCTTGCCAGAACTAGGACAGCTATCAATCAATATGATTTTGTTCACTTGATATATACAAAATTATTTTATTTCCAGGAAGCAAGCCTGGCATTAATATGGAATTTTCAAATATATGGGGCCCTAGCCTTTAAACAGACACACAAGCCTGTTACACAAACTCCTTTAGAAGCAAAGCACCTCTGGCTTTCCATTTGCATGATATAAAATTGCTCCCAATTATTTCAATTTTCCTTTCTTGCAACATTCTTTTCAGGATGGTAATATGTGCCTGCTGAAAACTGATAGAAATTAAATGATTTGGCGAATGCTCAAAGGCTTGAAGTCAGCTCTCACTGATTATCCTTCTCCTGGTATCACTGGTTTTGTATTAATCACACCAACTGCTTATGTAATTGAGTTTTGTTGTGATAAACAAGTATTTACAGTATACCTTGCATAAAGATCATGAGTAAAAAGAAACTGGCTCATCTTGAAAATAACTGTAGTAACATATTACCTGTTACACAGAGAACTACAAAAGACAAAACAAATACATGTTTTAAAAAGCAACAATATAAAGCAAAAGAAAGAAATATCTCAAAGAACAGTTCCAAAGATGCAAAGAATTCCCTAGTCACACAATGCTCTAGTTAAACGTTTAAAAACAACCTTTACTTTTAATGTTCCATAGATGGGAAAACAAGTACAATAAAGTATTGTATTCTAGTGTTCTAGTAGGGTCTAGACAACTAGGGGAAAAATGCCTGAAATGTTCACACTCTTCATTAGAAAAGAAAGTTGCTTGATTTGATTCAGCCAGCAAAGTGACCAATGCAGACTAAAGCTAATATTGACAATGAAATCAGACATTACCTGTTCCCATTTGAGATAAGCACTTAAACAGGCCAGCATCTCATTGCTTGCACTCTTCCTTACAACTAATTGCATAGCTTTGTTAATTGCACCTTGGAAGACAAATATGTCAGACCATACATTTGTGATAAATAAAATCAATTTTTCTGAGTCTGGATAGTCTAAGGAAAAAAAGAAATAATTTAGTAAATTTTTAACATTTTAAAACACAAAAATGAATATATTCCGGCATTAAAAGCTAGTACATTCAGCAAGGTAACTAGGAAAAAAGGCACAGAAGTCACATCAGAACTGAAGCCTAAGGAATACTGGCACATCTCAGTCCTGAGACTAAATAAGAAGAAAAGATCCAATAAAAAGACCAAACAAGAAACACCAGCAGAACCCCAACAAACCTTAAGCCACCTCCCCCATTGTAATTTCACTCCCTCTCCCTTCATCTTTCTTACTTCACTAAGGAGAGTGGTCTTAGAGCATTGAAATTGGATTCTTTTAGGATTCAATTAGACTGGAAGATGAACTCCAACAACCTACCTAATACATTCCCGTCACAAATAAGCACTCTGATCACTGGGCCAAACTAGAATTAGTCAAAAAAAAAAAAAAATCTACAATGCTTGCTAATACCTTGCACCCATACACCTGTGAAATTATATGTAATTATATATATGGATATATATATATATAAAGCTTGCAAAGAACTTTCACATAATTCAAATCTGATATTCCTCAGCAGTTTTCCCAGACTTTGTCAGAGAAATTGCATATTATGCAAGTTGTATGTGAGCATATATGAATGTTGCATGCTACTATTTATACTTCCATAGATGTAAAAATTTGTGCTACTCCATATAATTGAAGAATCCTCATTCAATAAAGTAATTCAGAGCAAGTATCAGACAACTATCAGTTGACAGGACAGTTCCAGACCATCAACAGGAAGCCAAAAGACCCTTCTGAATACCAAAGCTAAGAGCTCCAAGGCAAAATACTAAGATAAAACACGAATGTGTAGATTGTAAGCAATAACAAATACATTGGAATAAGTAAAAAAGCAGATACTACTTCCATGCATGAAATGCTATACTGGAATGCATATGCCTGAAACACTATACAAAAAACAAGCTGAATTCACTTTCCACTTCAGCATAACATCTACATTTTTTGAAAGATCTTAAGTACTAGAAAACATATCAAAATATATCAAATTAAGAAGCTTTAATGAACATAAAGGATATACACTTCAATGAGGTGTTTTGGATGGAACTTCTACTCTGAAGCTGCTCATTATGTGAAGAATTCAGTTTTTTCTATCAGGACAGCTGGTGAACTAGAATTACTGGCAACTAGAATTGCCTGCCCAGGAATTTGAAACACTTATAAAATTCACTCAATGATGAGTAAAGAGTTCAAGGAGAATAAAAAAAAATTAAAAAAAGAAAAAAGGGAGGGAACAGAGGAGAGGTGAAAGGAAAATTAACCAGAAAGGTTACATTTTATTTACAGTCACTTAAGGCATAAAACCACAGAACAATGACAATAGAAACTTATGCAATTCAATGTATAGAAGATAAAATCATCCAATAAAAGCCTGCATTAAGCTATTAAAGTTTGGATCTTAGAAAGGAAAAAGAAAGGAAAAAAGGGGAAATATTTAATATTTGCAAGAGTCCACAAAAAGAAAACACAGTCAGATACTGCAAAACAAAAAGCTTAATTATTATTTTAGATGCAGATATATCTGACAAGTAATAGTTTCTAACATGGTGCAGTATTAAAACTATTAACATAAAAGAAGTAAAAGTAGAATTATAACAGACTGAAGGATAGAAAAACAGAGGGGAAACCAGGAATTTGAAAAAGAACTCAAAGAAAAATATTACACCCCCTCAAAAAATGGGAATTAAGAACAAAATGAAATCACAAACCTTTTTAAGATTAAAACAAAAAAAAAAAAAGACAGGAATGTTATATGAAACATAGCAAGTAATTGAAACAATCTCAAGCTTTAGCACTCTGCTTGTCAGTGCTCTTGAATTTTATTTTAATGTTAAACACAGATACCAGTATACTATTTTCAAACTCAGTGAGTTTTAATCTTCCAAAACTAAGATTCTTAACTTTGCAATAGTACATATGTGTTAACTTTGTTCCTGTGACCAAAAGGCAGGGGAGTAAAGGAAGGGAACGAAAACTGAAAAAACTTCTCAACAAAGCAAGAATTTGGACAACAGAAACTAAAAATATTTTAAGGAGGACATATAATAAAAATATCCTGGTTTTGATCAAGGTATTGTCCAGCTCCTCACACTGTGTTAAATACCTGGTTTTAAATCACACTTACTTTATGAATCAATACCTACTCAATTAAAATAAGAAAATACTAATAGGCTAAAAGGACGAAATTCAGAGAAATCACATTATCATTTTGGAGATGGTGGGGAAGTGAAAGCACAAAGTGTCCTAAATTAAATATTTCCTTGGAAAAATAAGTAGACTACTAAGAGCCCAGGTCACCATAAAACTACAGTACAGACATGGTGGAACTATGAGAAGGAGAATTTCTTCTAGAACAGTCTATATTTCTGCGTTTCAGAAAAAAATTCTGGAAAACAAGCCTTGAAGAGGAAAACAACCCTTGAACAGGATTTCTGTTTTGTTTTTACAAACATAATAATTCTGACACACTGCAGCAAAGACACACAGCACATTTACAATATAAGGCCACTAAACCACACTATACCTTCTTTAAGTAGACTATAGCAGAAAAGGCGGGCTCTTTCCAAATCTCCCAACTGTCGACAAATTCCTGCATAGAGTCGACACAAAGCCTGACTGAAATTATAATTTGGGGCATTCTTCTGAGCCTTCAGCTTATTGAGAATAACACGCAGCAAGGACTCTGCTAAATGCTTTAAGACACAAAATATATTGTTATACTGGTACATACTGAAGAATACTTGACAACATTGTAGTCGTATAACAAGTAAAAAGAACTATTATCTTATTTGCAAAAATACTGTTTGCATATATATAAAATGCAGGAAAGTAAATCAGAGGCAACCAATGAAAGAAAAAAAGAGGGAGGAGCAGGCAACTTCCCAGAATAAGTATGCGATAAACAAATGAAGAACAGGGCTACTACTGTTTTAATATAATTTGTTTGGTTATGTGACTAACAACAATCTTCCTCAAAGAACAAGGAGAATAATGACAAGTAGAAGGACGAGGAGAGGAATAATGACAGGTAGAGTAACCCAAATAACCTAATCAGAGCAAAGGTAAGCACCCTGACTTAGCTACTTCCAAAGATGCCACAGAAGGACAAACAGCCCACTGTTCAGGTGTGACGTTACTAGGTAAGCTAAGAGCAGTCCTTCTCCAGACCACTATACACACTTCAGGAGATGGGGAGGAGATGTTGCTGCCTATAGTAACATAGAACTTAATATGAGATGCTGGAAAAAGAACATTGGGTTTGTGCAGAGTGTGCATGACTTATTATGGGATGCTTAGAGGAAGACCTCAAAGTGGGGAGTGGAATGAGAGGTTTAGGAGCCAGGTGCTGGAGAGCACACAGTTCAGACTGGGCATCTGTGAACAACAGGGATTCCGAGTGTTAACTTTGGGAGGAACCAGAAGATCTAAGCCAGCCACCTGAAAGACCACAAGTCTGAGGCCCAGACACAAGTCCAGACCAGCTGCTGGAGGAATATGTATATACTTCCGTGTCTCTAAGTTTGTCAGTGCATGAGAAGTGAGAAGAATATCAGTCACCTACTGAATATACTGAGTGCCTAATGTTAGCTGCTGGGGGAATCCATATTATCTGTATATATATGAATGTATTTTCCTCTACCAGGATTTCAACCTGACTAACCAGACAAGGGAATAAGAGTACGTGTGTACTGTGTGCATGTCTCTCTACTAGGAGTATGTACTCTGTCTTGCTACTGATTGGACCTGAAAGCCTAAAGCTACAAGCCTTGCTTCTATGAAGTTAACAGACTTGACAACTCCTAACAAAGAGGCCTGAGATCTTGGTAGCAACTTCTGAGGAGAACTTAATTATGTACCAGGACTGTAACAGGACAAAATGCTGTCATGTACTAGTTGGTGAATTGCTCTGCTGTAAACTACAAATTATCTATGAGAAAGACGGCAACTGAAGCAAAATTTTTCAGCACTGATGCTAAGGAAGTTCTGAGAAACAAAATAAGGGAAGAATTTTCCAATAAAATTAAATTTGATAACCTGATGTAGAATAGTAAAGGTAAACATAGAACTAAATTATATACCAGTATATACATTAAAGTTTATTTTTTTGAATTAAAAAAAAAAATAGAGTAATTTTGGAGAAACTCCTACAACTCTTAATACTGTCCACTTCAAAAAATGCTGCAAAGATAAAGTGGTTTATGCATACATCAGAAAAGCATATGTATTTATAACTGCAGTTTTGCATCTTGGACACCACTGAAAAGTAATTTCTTGTGCAGTTCTGTATTTTCTTATGTTATAAAAATTTAGGTTTCTAATAACCTTTCAAGACTACACTTTGGCACAGGACATTGCCACAACAATTGAGAATTCAAATACTACAAACTTAGACTCTTTCCATCTGCACAGAAGTGATTATTAAACAACAAAATTTAAAATTATGCTACTTACCTTGTTTTTTATACCAAATTCATAGACAACTTCTCTCTCTTCATCTCTCATTACTGGAATCTTTGAGATATTACCAACATACACATGACCTTTGATAACTGGTAACAAGTCAAAACAGGATTCAGCAACTTTCTTTAATGCCAAAGAAACTTTCTGGCAGTCAGAATCCTTCTTTACTGGTAGTGATTCTTCTAAATTGGAACACTGTGATGAATCACTGATTTCATAGGTTATACCATGGAAAGCCTCCTGCATTTCAGAGATGGTTTTTTTAGTATTTCTGACAGCAATAACATCACTGGGCTCCATCCTTGGCGGTTCACTCTCCAGTCTCAGTCTTTTGGCACTTCTTGGCATAGATACCTGCAGTAGTGTCCTTTTTCCAAGATTATTTGAAAAGAATTGCTGATTTTGCACATCTTTGTCTTCGTCTTTGCCACTATCAGATTTCAAATTGCTCCCAGCTTTAACAAAAGCAGTTGATGTAGATGCAAATGCTTTGAATCCACCTACTTGAGACGCAGGTCCTGGCAAACTTTGGCTGTCTGAAAAAGTACATCGGTTAAGCTGAATATTGCCTTTCAGAATGTTTAGTGTCCTTGCCCTTGCAGAAAGCTCTGGATACATAGTGTCCAATATTTTCACAGAGTTCTCCTGAGGGGCACCTGGACCAGCACTAACTGCTGCAAAGAGAGGAAATCTTCCTGGAACAAGAAGTGCATGCTTTGGAATGGAAGTACAAAATTTCAAAGGTGAGGAGCGAATCCTTCTACCTACTGCCATTTCTGAGGGCGAGGGAGGAGAAAATAAAATAGCAGATTTTACTGCTGGAGTATCTGTTAATGGGGACATGAGAGGAAGAACAGGAGTTCTGCATAGTGGGGACATCAGGTCATCAAGAGGGGAAAGCAGAGAGAATTGACCTGTAGAAGACATTACCGGGGACACAGTACAGGCAATTTTTGGAGGAGTAGCGATCAGAGGCAGTAGCAAGGGTGGGAGAGGAGGACCTATCTCTTCCCTGATTTTATTTATCATCTCAGATGAGAATTTTTTTGCCACAGAAGTATTAGCATTTCCAAGAACTGGCTGAGTAACTTTAAGAGTCTTTGTTTTTCTTTTACCTTGAACCAATTTCTTTGATAGCTTGGTATGCATTACTTGGGCAGTTGTTTTGGTAGAAACAGTCAAGATTTCAGATAGTTCTTGCTCTTTACACTTCCACTTATTGCTCTTCTTGAGAGCACAAGACTCTGATTCCACCATATGTAACTTCTCAAATACTGTCTTTTGTGGTTCAGAAAGCTGACCAACTGTTTGACAACTGCACCTTACATCAGAGAGGGTTGGATTTGGAAGATAATTGAGTAAAATTTTTTTTGTACCACTATCTATGGTAACATCAGTGCTGCTTTCTCCTGTATTGCAAGCAGTTTGATTATTATAATTATATTCTTCAAACACTGAGACCCCCATATCAACACTGTGTGATAAACCTTGTTTCCCATTTGACTGAAGTTTAGCAAAATCATTTTCTTCTAAGAAATTGCCAAGTGCTAACATTCTTGCATTTAATTTACTGGTTTTTACAGTCAGCCTGCAATTTTCTGAGAATCTGCTTAACATCTTGCATAGTGGTAACCTATTTTTTGAAGCATTTGGCGTCACGGGGCTTTCTTCTGATGTTCCAGATTTTAATAGACTTTCCTCATTGTGACTGATGCATCCAGCTATGTTAGACTCCATGAGTTCATTAGCACTCTCAGTATTTTCAGAGGTTAGTAATATACATTCTGTTTTCCAAGAGGCTGAGTCTTCAGGATAACTCTCCCCAGTCACACTTGACCACTCATTTGCAGTATCTCCAGAGTTGTTTGGTTCACAGTGTGTATTCATACCCACGACAGTGTCTGCTTTTAGGTGACTAACTGGGAAAGTACTTCCTGGGTGCATCATTGAATGAAGCTCACACACTTGGTAATCAGCATCAACAATTGCACCAGTTTCCAGAGCACCCAATGCAATTCTGCTGGAAGCTCTCAGTTTGTTTCTAAACATTGGAACGCATTCAGAACACTTCACATATTTCACTTTTTGTATAGAACAGTCCTTTTCTTCAGAGTCATTGCTCTGCTCTGGCATATCAAAATCACTTTTACAATTTACTATGGCATTTTTCCCAGAACCCACAAAACTGTTCAGTTCTTTACTTTCTCTCCCACCTGTTAGTGAGTAAGTTCTAGAAGGACCTGTTCTAACCTTCCATGTAGAAGTCCTGCATCCTGATTCTTGACAATCAAACTTTCCGAGAAAAGCATTCTTATAAGGGTTTGCATATATGATCTGTGATTTAACAGATGCTTGAGATTCTTTATCTACTGGCTGCTCCTTATCTGAAGTTTTCTCTTCATTTTTGTGTACATATTCTCTCTCAGGGCAACCTGGTTCTTTGCCCATGTTGACTTGTTCAGTAGACAGAATCTCAGCATCCTCTTCTAAATTATCTGAAGAACAGTTAAATGTACTACTCATAATGGAATTTGTATGTCCCTTGTTTTCCCAAGTACAGGAAAAAGCAGCCTTTCCTGCTACGTTAGTTTCAAGGAAACCAACAACTTTCTGAAGACTGAAATTTAGATCAGGAGATCTTGTGGATTCCAAGCCAATTCCCACTTGCATAGGAGAATTGGTTTCTTCATTATTTATACAGCATTTCTCCAAGTCCTTTTGAGTAGAAAAAGCCAAGCCACTTCTATATTCCATTTCTGAAGTAGGATGGCAAATGATCTCTGAAATATCATTTTTCTTCACAACATTCTTTTCCTGCTTCAGTGAACTGAAGCAAGTCTCAGTCACCAATTCCTTGCTTTGTTTATTTAATTTCCCTTCTATTTCATCACATTTAAAATTTTCAGTTATCAAGAGCTGAGTCAGAGGTTTTGCACACTGTTCCTCAGAAATAGGATTACTTTCTATTAAGACAGATTCAATTGTATCCCCTCTTGCTAACAACTCACTGATTTCCCCTCCACAATCTTCTGGATTAACTCTGACTTCAGTCTCTAGAGATTCAAACAGTCTAAAGTTTTGAGATTTGGACTGCCCACATTCTAATGTCTTACATAAGTTTTCAGATTGTTTTATTTCACCTTTCACTTCTGTAAAATCGAACGCAGAAGATTCACACTTAGCTACACTGCTTTCTGCACCAATAATGCATGCTGTCTTTGATAGTGAAAGTACATTTTCTAAGTTTGACTTCCTTTGAGATAAATTACCACCATCTTCCTCGTGATGTGGTTTGCTTTGTAAACCTACCACCTCCTTTATATCTACTAGTTTTACATTTTCTGCACTATGGAGTAGCTCTGACAATTCAGCTATTTCTAGAACACTTCCTCTGTGAAATTTCATAGGTAGTTCAGGAGCTGGAGCTCTGGTTATATTTATGTCTTCGGTTTTGAGGAGTTCATCATTTGGAAAGACTGACAAAATTCTGATTCCTTCAGTAGCAGATACAGGTAAATAATGCCTAGAGACTTTAACAGTCTCTGGTTCACATTCTCTGTTCACTTTGTCTTTTGTGTGCATATGTTGTTTCTCCAGAATCTCTTCACTGTCATATTTTATTTCAGAGCACTGAGAGTGTGCAGAGATCTCAACAGCTCCAGTTCTATTAGTTAATTTGACTACATTTTTTGATTTATTTTCTATCAACTCATCAGATTTTTCCTCAGCATCTTCTCTTTGAAGCACAATGCATTGCTTAGATAGGAAATGAGAAACACTCTGCAGAACAGATGCTTCCCTGGAAGCTTCTCTCTGTGCTACTAATTTATTTCTCTCTACATTCACTAATTCATCACATTTTTCATGTGTACCCTCATTATCAACAGCTCTAATTAAGGTTACATTCTCCTCTGTTTGCTCTACCACACTACATTTTTCTACCTGTTTCTGAGACTTGAAACTTTGAAACATAAAATCTGCTGAAGAATCTCCCTCTTCACTGTTCATGTCCTCACCATCTCCTTTCCGTTCTTCCATGTCTTCCGATTTGTGTGCTGTTGCTCCAGTTAGTTTTCTGTTCTCAGTTTCCACATCCCCAGAATTCTCCTCCAAACAATTTTTGTTAGTTATCATGCTTGTCGTTAGAGTAGCACCTTCAACTTGCTCTCTTTCAGCATCTCTTTCCTTCCTTGACGTCTTAGGACTCATATGAATATTCTTTTCATTCCAACTCAGATTAAGTGAGATTTCTGCATCAAAACCATGCTCACATGATTTGCACTGTCTGTTAAACTCATCACCAGGGCTGATTACATTACAACTCAGAGGCTGAACTTGGTCTTCTTGTAAAATATCCTCCAGTGCAAAAGTACTGCAATCATCTTCTTCATCACTGGAACCTGTGTCTTCTCCCAAGAACATATCCTTCAACCAAAAAAAAGCAAAGTTAATAATCTGAACCCTAGAATCAGTTTTAGGACCTACTTTTTTAAACAAGTACACTTAATGCCCTGACATGCAATGGTGTTGAGAGATTAAGGCTGGTCAACAAAATTACAACTCTCTCCACCATTGCTCCTCATACTGAATGAAAGTACCTCTGCAAAAATAGGAGACTTCTTTATCTACCTACTTGCATTCTAAAATTACCAGAAATGAGCATTTGAGCAGGATCTAACTTTCAAGCTCTGGAATTTTGCTATGAAAGCCAAGCTTACATTGAACACAAATTGGGACTTAAGGTCTGCACCACTGGGAAATTATGACAGCAATTGAGACATAGGTGACTGTATATTGGTTTTGGCTAGGATAGTTAGTTTTCTTCACAGAAAGGGGGGTATGTTTTGGATTTGTGCTGAAAATGGTGTTAATAACATAGAAATGTTTTCATTATTGTTGAGTGGTGCTTGCACAGCATCAAGGGCTTTTCTGCTTCTCCTACTGCCACACTGGTGAGAGCACTAGGGGGATGCACAGGAAGTTGGGAGGAGACACAGTTTGGACAGCTGACCCCAACAGACCAAAGAGACATCCCATCCCATTATGCCATCATGCTGAGCATATAAAGAGAGGGAAAGAAGGAAGGGTGGACATTTGGTCTGATGATATTTATCTTCCCAAGTCACCACTATGCATGATGGAGCTCTGTTGACCTGCCTGCTCATGTGAAAGAGTGAATGAATTCCTTGTTCTGCTTTGCTTGCATGCGCAGCTTTTCCTATTAAACTGTCTTTATCTCAACCCACACGTTTCCTCGCTTTTACTCTTCCGATTCTCCCCAGCATCCTGCTGGTGGAGAAGTCAGAAGCAGTTGCGTGGCACTTCATTTCTGACTGGGTTTCAATCATAACACATACACTTCTGAACATTAGGTTTTTGCTCCCTTCCACAGGCAGTATGCTACAAGGTTAAAGAAGTATCCATATAGATCTAAGCACACAGAGACCTTTTCAGTGCATGAGTAAGTAACACTGATATACAAAAAAAAAAAAAAATCATTACTTCTTTAGTACCTTTAGCAATTTTAAGACCAAGTTAAGTGCCAAGTCAGATGCATCCTGAAACTCACCTGGGTAGTCAGTGGTGAAAGCTGTATCGGAGAAAGTAGAGCAGGAAGAGGTCTGGCCCAATTCAATATATCCATCACATTTCCACCTGGGTCTCTCCACTCCTGACTGGAGAAGCCTGAAGCGCTGTGCTCCCTGCCTGTCTGTATTATCACATCTACATTTTTATCCTTACTACTGTGAAGTTGTTCTTCAGTAGTCCTGTTCACAGCACAATCATCTCCAAAAGGCTCAGTACTTGTTTGAATTACCATCGCTGTTCCAGAATTTTGCTTTACAGCACTTTCCCCTGAAGAACACCAAGGTAGTGTTTTGCCATCACTCTTCCTGATCTTTTGGTGGATTTGTATGGTGTCTAAGACAGAAAAATATCATTAAGAATTTTTGCCCTCCCATTTTTGTTTACAGAGATAAAATACATTAGTAATAAAAATGTAATACCATATTTTCAAGTGACGTTTCTGTAGAAGATCTTAGTCACTTTCAGAAATGCTTTCCCTATTTTTTAATGAAAACAGCATGTGCAAAGAGCTTTTCCCCAAACTGCCTGACTTGGATCATTAAAACATTCCCAATTTGTCTCATCAGGAAGGGTCCTTCTTGGTAGGATTGAAGGTCCATATGTTTTATCTCAGTCTTTGCCCAGTAACTCACAGTCATAAAAAGCAGAACAACCGTGCACAGACATTCCCCACCCAGGCTGTAATTCTCAGCTTAAAGCAACCTGCACGTTTGAGCCAGCAGCTGTGCTTCCAAGCAAGTTACAATTATACCCTGCCATAAATACAACAAGGAAGCTCTTAGCTACATTTCTAGTTTATGATTTAATATGCATATGCTTTTGAATTGTTTGTTCTTTAAATTTAAATATTGAGTCTAATCACACAAGATTTTGCTTTAATGGTATAATTTAGTCAGTTCTGAAGCCCTAATTAAAAAAAAAGCACCACAACATATCCTATGCACAAAGTTGTTGGAACAACTAAGATACAGAGCAGTTGAGAACGCTTTAAAGATGTCAACTATACAGTTTTACATTTATTCTAACAAGAAGAAAGCATGTCCAAATACTCTGTGTGATTCTTTGCAATACTTTTGTTACTTTTCAAATCACAGTTTTTACTATTACACAGTAACTCATTTATTATGCAGACAAAACATATTCATCCAGGAAAGTCTAAAGACAAATAATTTAAATTTATTATAATTATGCTAAATACTTCCAAAAGGGAAAAGATAGCCCAGTTTCCTGAAATTTAAATTCTATGATTTTAGAAAATGAAAATTTTACCTCCAACAAGACAGTAGAAATCAACAATTCCCAAACCCCAGTGTATCATATGGAGGTAAAATCTACTCTGTAGTATTTGCAATTCTTATATGACATTGTATGTGTGATCTTGTTTATAGTATTCAAAAACACTACTAGACACCAAATCAGCAGTATTAAAGCAAGAGATCAAGCCTATTCTGCATACATATGAGTACACCATCTGCAGTGAACCACCTGAATTTTGTGACTAAATTTTTCCTTAGAAAAGCTAGTTTAGATTTAAGAGAAACTGCTGTCAAACAATTTACCTGCACAGGCAGGGTGAGGGGTTTTTTATGACAGTTTCGTGTACCATAAGCTGCAAAACTCTGAAAGTTTACTCAGAATCTTTGTTTAGAAACTTTGTCCAGCCCCTGAACACACACTCTCACACCCCTGCTTGATGTGGGAACTCAGCACATCACTCCGGATGTCCAGAGTTACCAAGAGAACCCTTGGGGAGGCTCGGAGATCCTAGAATGTTGCCAAAAGTACCTGGTGGCTTGACTTTGACCCTTCGAGGGATGTGCCACCTGTTTGAGGACATGAGAGTCATTTGGGAATGAATGGTGTAAGAATGATGTGTTTACAGAATGAAAGATAGATGTTAGGGTTTTGGTACAGGGGGGTTATGGAGACAAGATGGAGGGAGCAGGGTGTGTCTTGTCCTTCTTTCTTCTTCTTGTCATCCATTTTCTGTGGTAATGTTGGCACTTTGGGATTGGTCAATGGTGCAGGTGCACTTGTTAATATGGGTGAAAAGTATTGGGAAATAAAGGTAAATATGATGTATGTAGTTTTTAGTATAAAAAGAGATGACTGCCCAGTGGGAGGTCCGAGTGCCCTTGGCTGCCTTGCTGGTCAGACCTCTGTCGGGCAGAAAGAAAATTCTCTAGATAAGAAATAATAAACAATCTGAAGACTGAAAATCTGAAGAGTCCAGACTTATCCTTTGAAGTGCGGGCTGTCCCAGAGCCATCCTACGTGTGTCTGGGCAGAGACAAACACTGGGACCAGACAGCTTGACACTGCCGGACTTCCATGATCTTCGAGAAAGAAGATTGTACATGTCTGGAACTCCTCCTGGAGGAGGTACTGGGGTGTTTACTGGAAAAATGAGGGTTATAAAAACCCCAAATTTTGATGCTTATGCAGGTCTCCACCTCTGACGGACTCCTACTGTGTATCACAATCACAGACCACAATCACCCACACATCATTGGAGCCACAGGTGGTGGTTATCTTTGTCTTTTCTCCTCTATCTTTTTTTTCTAGTTTTCCTCTTTAGGGTGATCACACACTTCAGAATAGCTATATACTCCTTTCCAACCCACTTTACAGTGTTTTCCATGTACAGTTTCAAAGCAGTTCTAAAAAATTTGTTGTTATACCAATTATTTACTGGTTTTCTACTTTAATCCACCCCAAGGGATCCTTTAGCAACAAATCTGATTGCCCTGCATCAAAGGCAAGTCACAACACCATTCCACAGTAGAAATAACAGCACGTGCACAAAATGGTTTTGAGTATAGGATGTACTAATTTAACTGGCACAACTTGCATTCTGTTGGGGGAAAAAAAAATCATGTGCTTCATTACTGCTATCTGTGTTAATCCACTACTAGAACTTGCACAGATATTCATTCCTAAAGCAACATCAATGGTAGTATTATATTTAAAAACATTAATTTAACTTGATAGGTCAAAATAGCCTCCTCAGCGATCAAAAACTTTTAAGCACATTCTGATACGTCAGCACCACTAAAGGAGTTAATCAGAAAAACTGATCAATAACCCTATTTCAAAGATCTATCTCAAGTCACTTCATGCATCAAGTCCATGAAAAAATCTCAACTACTGCACTGGACACCAGGAGGAGGGAGAAACCGATCAACCTGAAGGGCCCTAGCACATCATTTTCACCGAAGATAAGAAAGCTCTGCCATTCCCTTTACATTTTATAAGTATTACAACAATCCATTGTTTTATAAAGCCATTTACAAGCCACAGTCACATAGAGCTTCTAGGATGTTCTAAATTTTCTCAGGACAAACCTACATTCATTTTACAATTTGAGTTCCAATCCAAGGCAAAAGGAGCTCTTTGACAAATAGAAACAAAGAAAATAAGGAAAATTCAGAAGTTGGTTGTCTCTTACATTTTTTTCATGTCTTTTTGTGCCAACCATTTCAAAGCTCAGAATTTACCCTGCACTGAAGCAGGCAGCAACACAGTTAAAGATTCTGCCCCTATAAGGACTCCATTTAGAAAATTAGGAAGTTTACTTTTCACAGTGAACTAGACCATAGTACTGACTTATTAGGAACTTTACATCCTATCTATACTCTCAAAATCAGTCATGCACCTACATCAAGTCCAAGAATATTGATACGTATAATTCATTTAAATATTTCCCCTGAACAATGGATCGAAGACATAATTTCTGAATAACTAAGAAATTCTCCAAACTTCTCTACTCATCCCTTTCCAACCCAGTCACTAATAACTGCATTTCTTTGGCAATGAGATACCTTTCTTACAGTTACCCATTTAACCATAGGAAGAGTTGCCATAGCAATTTTTAAAGATTCAACATATGTAACTTTCTTCATTTGAAGTGTCAACTCTGGCACCTTGGTCTGAACCTCAGGTCCAGCAAAAGCCTTATGAATACCGAGCCCATCTCATTGGAAGGATCCTTGCAAAGATCATACTTCAAAGACAAATTTTACTCTATCCAGGGAATCGCACTTCTGTTCATTAGGTGACTCAATGAAATGATAAAGTTTTCTTCTGAAATCTATAACCTGGAATCTAGTTCATGTAGCTTTGAACCCTTACACTGCTGCCTTCTCTCACTTCTGAGAGATTAAGATTATTCTGATTTGAAAATACCATCAAAAGCTATCACGTACTACTTGAAATATCTTCTTCATGCAAAGTGGAGAAAGAAGCAGAGATTAAATAAGTGATCCAATGCTAAAATTGATTGCCTTGGTACTAAACAAACTATATTTTACAACTCAAAACTTTAGTCTTGATTGGGTACATTGCAAGGCAATTCACTGTTGCAAGTTGTCCTCTCCTCACTCCAAGCAACAAAGCAACTTTTTGAAACGAGTCTTGTGGTTTTTTCGTCTCAAGAAGGACCAGATTAAGATGTGGTATTTTATAAAAATAAATAATCTGGCCAAAGAATCTCATCTGATTTACAGCAAAACCTCATCAGCAGAGTGATTGCAGATGCCTGGCAGAAGAAACTGCACACTTCTCAAGAACAGCGGTGTTTCTCTGAGAAAAAAATTCCTCCACTCAAATTTTTAATGCCCTGACAATGAGGCAGAATTTTTCAACCTGTATCCAATTATGTGAATTTCAGGATGCTTCATACACTAAATATTCTTTGAAGCTACAGGCAATATTCTGTTTTCTGAGACAGTAAATCTGATATTAAAGCAGACAACTCAAGTGCACTCCTTTCCATCTCTGCATTTACGATCTACATGCAGTTTCTGCCCTATCCTGTATCCCCAAACAAAAAGATGAGCAGATAAAATGGGTATAGCTCCATAGTAAGCCAACTTTAGCTCAGAACCCAGTTACAGAATACCTCTTGAAGAAGCTTGACTCCTCCCAGACAGGGTCTTTACTTTTCTTCAGTTCATCTCACCATTGCAGATGAACAGAGCATGTTAGAGAACCCAACTTACCAAAATATTCAGCACCCAGCTGCAAGATTCTTCAAATGCTTCATTAAATGTTTATTCACAATGTAGGTGATTTTATGTCCCAACTATATGAGATAAAGTTTTTCAAAGACTAAAATACTATCAATGTCTTATTAACCCTAGATTATGGCCCAAGGTTACTGGACTGATGGTCAGATGCATGTATTGTCAACTTTATTACTGGCAGATTTGTAACAGTACTACCAAATGCTTTTAAAATAAGTTTGGCAAACCTCCATTATCCTATGAGGCTTTCACAACAGCAAATTTGGAAAGCCTCATGAGTCTTCCAACTTTCATATATGAACACATTCTTCAAGAAAACCATTCAAAGTAGTATCAACCTTAGCAGAACAGAGAAGACACTCATCCATAATGCAAAGCTTTGGGTATTGTACAGCACATTTGAATATACTAAGAAATGTTAGAAGATGTACACTTCTGAAAGGCTAGATCCAGGCAGCAGATGAACTGACATTCTCTGGAAAAGATACTACCATCAAGCTGATCTGCTCTCTAGGTTGAAACTATTATAATATGGGCAAACTCATTAAGATCCTTTTTTTCCTAGAAGACTGCACCCATAAACATAAGCACTTTGTTATTATGAATTCAAGGTAAAGGCCAGTTTCATAAGAGGCTGAATAACGATATAGCTGTTCTAGGCTTGATGAGGGGAAAAAAAACCAAACCAGTAACAGGAAAAAAGACTTATTTCTACAAAATCTAACCATTCCAACAAAAGCATGGTCTAAGCTTAGAATTTTCTCCATACTGAAGTGGGAAGAAAGAAGGACTGGCTAGAAGAGACTCTTAGAGATAACTGCTTCCTTCTATGAAAGTACTGTCGTCTCCTTGAGAAGATATGAATAGGAAAGATGGAACACAGTTTCTGAAATCTAAAGTTCGTCTTTTGGTGGATGGCAAAGGGATTACTCTGGAACCTGATACCCCTAAAATCACATATATTTTAAACTCTTCAGTTTCTTGTGCTTGTTCTTGTCACTTGATTGATCCTTGATCAAGACATTAAGTTCAGAATTGCAGGGCACAAGTGTCCAGCTCAGTTTTGGAGCTGAAGCCATGCATTTGCTGCATTAAACTCAAGGAAGTAAGGCTGACTAACAGGTTTATGAGCTGGTCCTTATATTTTGGCACCTCTTAAGTGGATTCCACTGGAACACATCTGAAGGCAGATTCACTATGATCTACACTAGTAGCACATTTTCAGACTTAACAGGGTCTTTGAAAAGTTTATCTTCAAAGCTCTTAATGCTGCTGGGTACCAATCCCAGGCAGTATCTCTACACCTTTAGTTACAGAAAAATCAAAGTAGTAAAGAAACTGAAAAAACTAATAAAGCTTAATAAAAACATTCCAGAGATGCAACACAGAAATTAATGCAGTTTCAAGGCATCTATTACTCTTCAGTGCAGAAAGAAAATATCTGCTATGTAAAGTTAAGGCAGTTAAAGTTTGCTGTGAATATGCATGTGGATAACTACTCAGATTATTTTTTATCATTATCTAAATATCACATTACAAAGAAGAAAATGGAGTTAACAGCTTCTTAAACCTTATAATTCAACTATGTTACCACATATTTGTTTCAGACTACAAGAGCCCATATGCACCATCATTCACATTATATACTACAGAGTTGATTACAATATAATAATAATGTTTTAACCATGAGATGAGTTTTGACTACTTACAAACTTACTTGACTACTTACAAACATTACTTACAAAGTAAAAGAATTTGATTTCTTGACTGCAACAGCAAATTACAACAGCTTTTTATCAGAAGATGGTTCAAGTTTACTTACCCATTCAAATTAATATTTGTATTATTTTCAGATAATTCAGATTCTAATCACACATGTAATTGACCAGACAAAGATCAAGGAAAGTATTTAAGTCTTTCAAAAGAGTGTTATGCAGTTACTACCCAACTGGAACCTACTCTCTGTAACAGTTAGTCTTCTTTTGTTCAATCATTCCTTATCCCAAATAGAAGCTGAAAGAAAATACCAACATTGTCTTTTGGTCAGAAAAGGAGAGAGTATGAAGAAAATTTCAAGACTTTGCATGCCATTGTACCTAAGACAGGATCATTTTTCTTATTCTCTCTTTCTCCTTTTGCACTGCCAATGCACATCCGGAGTTGTTCTAATAAGAACATCGCTCTTCCTGTTAAAATAAATAAACAAAAAATCTATTTATTTTAAATAAATTGATAGAATTGAACTAAGAATTTGTGTTTATTTTACTTAGAACACAGACATGCCTACAAAATACCTACAAAAATTAAAACAAGGCACAAGCTTCAGTGAAAGAGAAATGCTAGATGCCATTTAGGGAATAGATCCTGTACTGGCCACAACACCATATCAGACTAAAGGAACAGCTGGAGAATGCTTTACCTTTTCCTTTTCATAGGGAGTACTGCAAAAAGTTATAACAGCCCCCAAAGTAAAAGGTAAAACAGATACAAATGTAGCATTAGTGAAATCAAATAGCTCTGTAAAACAAATCAAGTCACATGAACCTGGGAGAAAATCTTCTTCAAAGATGTGTATCACATTTCTGCTTACTCAATAATAATTAATCTTAGTTTTATCATGTAATAGCACCATGTATCTGAACTAATTATCAGGCCACAACACTAGGAGACTGTCTACAGTTCTAACAGCACCACTGCTAGGTGATGTCAAACAACCTAGTTCCAGAGACAGAAGAGAAGTGGAGAGGGAAGAAAAACTCAGAACTGCAGTAAGACACAGAAGCACCTTATAGACTTAAGCCAACAGTATCAAAAATCCAACAATCAGGAACTGAGACTGTTTTTGTGCAAATTCTGTAAGTCAAAGGCCATAGCAAACTGCTATTATTTTATGAAGAGACATATTAAAAAACAGTCAGCATATACAAGGCAAACCTACCAAATTTTGCTAAACAGCTAATAACATCACTACCATTTACTCATTATTAATAAATCCTTGCTGCTATTTGAAGCTCAAATTAATGTTCAGATATTAATTTTCCTATTTTGCCACTAACTAAAAATCAAAGGATTAAATGTGGTACCAATTCAGTACAATCCAAAAGTAAAAAATGTGCCAAGACACACACAAACTGACAAGGTGTGGCTTTTTCAAAAACATTTAATTTCTGCAACAAACCTATTTTCAAAGCAAGAAATAGAAAAGTGAAGTTCTTTTGCCTCAAAACAGCCTTCAGCATATCTAAACAGTTCAAAAGCAGTACCAGCACTTTAAAAGACTGCAAAAAATACAAATAATAAATTTGCCTAAAGTTTGGCCTCGGTACTTTGGAGGAAGTTTTCAAGGAGTTTGCTCCATTAGAGTTAGATTCAGGTAATTTGTAGTATATATTTTAGATCACTAAAACAAAAAAAAAATGTCAATAAGATAAGATACAACTATACCTCCTGTATTTCCATTTGATTTTCCAAGTCTCACATAGAAATTTTACCATATTACTCTCCTATTTGGTGCTTTATGATTTCAGGAAGCTTCAGAGGGATTGTTAGTATTTTTTTCAGTGTTTGCATTTTGTTCTATAATTGCACATCAGCTGACTTCACATATGCACAGGGTAGACTAGTCATTTTTATGAATCAAGAGTTTTCCTTACTGAAAAACTGAATATAGTAATCTATTAGATTGGTCTTTCATCAGTGTAACCTACTTGTATCAATCACATCTGCTCTTATAGCACTTTAGCAGTATCCCCTGTTTCCAAAATTGCAGCTCCAGAAGAGCTGCAATAAATTTGTAACAATTGGTTCCACACAGAGAATGGACTTGAAAAAGTCTTACCTTTGTCTATATACGTTGCAAGATCTTCACTTGAACTCTGAGTTTCTGCATGTTTAACTATTAAAAAGAGGAGAGGTGGAAAGAAAATATTCAAATGGAACAACACCACATACAAATTCAAAGGCATTCAAAGGTAAGCACTTACGTTTTCTGCACTTCTCTTTAATTACACCACCAAGCTTTCCCTGTTAAAATGAAGAAGTACAGAATTTTTATGCCATATATATTTCTTAGAACATCAGTTCCTAAAGAGCATGAAATCTATATCAACATTTCTGAAGTTGGAAAATTTCTCTCTTACAATGAACTGCTAATGTTTAGTTACTCAGTATTCCCCCAAAAATGTAATTTTACTATTTCAGCACCTATTACACTAATAGCTTCTTTATTTCCCCCAAAAATACTAAAAGAGTTTCACACAAAGACAAGGAAAGCCTTACTTGTGCTTTTTTCAGCTCCTTTTCAAGCCTTTTCTTTTCAGTTTTTAGTTGTCTGAAGTCCTGCGTATGCTTTGTTGCAGCCTCTTCAAGAAAGAGAACCAAAATTCAATTTAGAAACTGTAAAGAGGCCACTAATTTAAGTGGGGCTGGTATAGTAGTTCCCTAGTTTGCAAATGAAGCCACCAGAAAAAAAAAAGATAGTGTGAAATACAAATCTACTGAAGTTATATTTCGGTTCATTTGGACAATATCTCATGCATACAAGTATGTTGCCTTCTACTGTATAATTACTGTTTTGAACCACAGCAATACATTTATTAGTTTTCTCAATTATATGCAAGAATGAAGAGTGGGTCATATTGTAATGATATTGTACTGTAGAACAAAATACATCAAGTATATTGTTGAAAAAAGGAGATAAAATTGACTGCAAAACGGCTTTTACAGTTTTATTCTCTTATTTAAATAAGAGCTCTGGTTCAGAGATTAAAACACCACAGCCAGCTGCGTTAGAAAGATACATAAAGCACTCAAAACTAATAGAGAAGAGGACCTTATCTCTTAATGTCTAACAGACACCTGGCTAGAGTGCAGATGGGTGGAAATAGAGGGTACAGGGTAGGTGAGAACTGAACACAAGGTTCCTAGGAAAATTCTTAGGTGACACAGTCAGCTGAGAGAACTCCTGAGAGTTCAGCCTGATGACTTATATATGGATAGGAAAGAAAAGAAATGGAATCTTCCTGCTGATCATATCAGAAGAGAGCCTATTAAAATAAAATGTTTTAAAAAGGAACCTTGAGTGGTAAGCTAACAAAAAAACAATAATGGCAAAATTTCATACTGCCAAAAGATACAATGTTTGAGATAATTAATGAACATAGAAAAAACCAAAACAGATAAAATAGTCACTGAAATTGGACCTAACACATGCTCTTTCTCAGTATTTTGTTCTAGTTCTGCCAGAATTTGAGATTTTGGAGGCAAGTGTGTAAAAAGCCTGGCTGTCCTGCAATGGAACTCCAAAATTCTCATCAAAATAAACACCTTGTACCTGCACTTTACAGTAAGATTCAGGGGGTTTCTATCACTAAGATATGTCACTCAGTTCACTGTATTTTGAACTATGGTAAGCACAGCTAAAAAATGCATGACAGGAATGCAAATATCTGCCCTACCAATTGATGACACAGCAAGTGAAGTCTCAAAAAGTCTTACATACATCCATCCTCGCAAACAAGAAAAACACAGGGCCAAGAAGCCAATGCTTTTTCTCCATGTAAAAAAAAAGCAAACAAACAAACTAACTAACCAACTAAAATATAAGTGCCAGACCATTTAAAAGTCAGAAAACGTGCATCAGGAACAAATACTTTAATATGAACATAAACATGAACAATCCTGCCAGGATTATTAGAACACTGGAGTACATGCCCTATGAAAACACTCTAATTGAACTAGACTTAACCAGCCAGAAGGGAAAACATAAAAAATCATAGAAAGAATACAAGAACAGCTTTCCTGTACAAAGAGGTATCAAGAAGATGGAATGAGATTGCTAATGAGATTGTTCAATCAAGAAGATGGAACAAGACTGCTGTATGGTAGAATTAGGTGTAAACTGAAACATGGGAGTTTCCAACATGTTACTGAACCAAGTTGCCTACAGACACTGGTAACACTCCATCCTTTGAAGTTTTCATGACTAGAAGTTCCCTTCCAACTATATCTGAGTCATGTCCCGAAGACACTCAGCAGAAAATATTCTGCAGGAGGGCTGATATAAATCAGAGACCAAGCACCCAACATAGTACTGGCCTGCCTTGTTCCTTGGGCATCAAAGTTAAAGTCACAATTCCTCTGGACAGAAAAGGAAAAAAGAGATTATGTTACTGTACTGTTGACCTACTCAATGTAGAAAGTTACCTTCAAGTTTTTTCACTTTAGTTTCCAGTTTCTTTCTCCTGTTAAATAGAACACATTAATAGATTATTTTTAAAAATAGAACTATGTTGCATGAAAAGTCAGAAAAAAAATCTAGCCATTCAAAGAAAAAACACCTCCTATACCCAGGATCTTGTGTCTGAGACCAATGACTCCTTGAAGTTGAAAAATCAAATTGGTGCCATGTTGCTGGCATTCTCACACAAACAGCTGTATCTGTTACAGATGCAAAGTTTGCTTTTAAGAGAGTCAATCCACTAAATATACCTTTAGCAACAACCCGATATTAGAAATACAACCGCAGAAAACTGGCTTCTATTTTTTGCATTTCCAAGATGTAATGGAGACAGGTTAGCTTTACTCCTTAAAAACTATCAAGCTTTGCTTACAATGAATAATATCTAAGCAATTATATAATCAGGAATGGCCCTCAGAATGACTTATGTCCCAAACCTTTTTGTTCAGAACATCCAGATACTTTAGACTAAAATCAAACCAAAGGAAAAAACATGAAGCATCCTGAACAATTTTGACTTCAACATTTCCAATCCTACCTTAAATGTAAAACACACAGAACTGGAAAATAAATAAATAGAAAATAGAAAAATACAAATTTCTATTATTTTCTTCTACTAAATTCTAATATCACAGAAATAGTTTTTAAACTGTTGTGGTAAGTAGACAATTCTACCAATGATCACTGATCACTTTCATGAAGTAGAACACAGTTAATTTATTCCCCATATTAAAATCTGTGTAATAGATTGAGACTTACCATCTAAGCCTTTCTGGATGTTCAGGCTTTAATTACCACTTCAGACATTAACCAGAATATATTCAAAAATCCACTCATAAATGGTATGATTGACCACCTTCTGCATGTTTAGTAGTCAAAGTATTTATAGTATAAAGTAATAGACCGAGGATTCTGTGTCTTCTCAGCCTGAAGAGGTTCATACTTACTTTTCTATATGATGGCTTTGACAGTCAAGCCATAGGTGAGAATTTCAGCAAAATTCCTCATAAAACACCTTTATAGAAAAAAATATAGGGAGGCAGGGGAAGGGGGGAGCTGTCCTTTAGAAAACAGGATGTAAGGAACTTCTGTTTCTCCATAGATTATCTTCAAGTGAATGCACAGAAGTACTACATATGCAATGCATGGACATTGGAAGCAAGATAAGTCGACACAGGAAGACCACAGAGATGCTGTTTACCATTGCAGGGAGAAGACTCATGCAGCCAAAGCTCAATTAGAATTCAAGCTGAATTAGAATTCAACAAAAGGGGCTTTTCAAAATATCTTAACAGCAAATGGAAGATCAGAAATAACATCAGTCCATTGCTTGATGTGGTTAGTCACATCACAAATAGGGATGCAAAGCAGAGATATTTAATGCCTTCTTCACATCTGTCACCAATGACAGACCCTGGGACTACCAGAAACCTGTGTTGGAAGACCATGAGTGGCTTGTTTAGCTCAGGAAAGAGAAGGCTGAGGGGTGACCTCATCACAGTTTACAACTTCCTCAGCAGGGGACAGTGGAGAGGAAGGTGCTTATCTCGTCTCTCTGGTGACCAGTGATAGGACAGAAGGAAATGCAATGAAGCTGCACTAGGGAAGTTTAGATGGGACATTAGGAAAAGGTTCTTCAGGCTCCCCAGGGAAGCAATCATTGACATCAAGTCTGTCAAAGTTCCAGAAGCACCTGAATGATAGTCTTAGTCTTACAGCTTAGTTTTAAGTAGTCCTGCGAGGAGAAGGGAGTTGGACTCAATGATCCTCATAGGCACTTTTCAACTTGAGATAAAAAAAACTAGGATACAAATAACAAGAATCTGAACAAAGAGAAACAAAGTGCCAACATAATCATTGCAATAATATTTATAAATTACGTAATTACATTTACATATGCAGAACTATACTAATTTCATCAACACACAACTACATGAAGAAAATAGGTAGATGCTAAATCTAGCAATTTACAAAAAGCAGTTTGCAGATGATGCATTTGGGCAGAACTCCTTTTATGTTACCCAACTCAAGTTCCTCAACATCTGATCCTTAAGATACATGCACAACTGCAGCTGACAGAATGCTATGCTAAGAGAAGTTGTACTCCACGGGAACTGCCATCCCTGTAGAATATTCAGATCTCAACTAGACAGTCCTGAGCAAACTAACTTTAACACTGGCTCTGAATAGCAGACTGGACCAAAGGACATGAGTGATAATTTCTCACCTAAGTTTTTTAATAGTACCAGTTTTTTAATTTACTGTGTAAATTAACAGTAATTTTATGCACAATTCACTATTATTCTGCTTCTGGAAAAATCCAGCTTTCAAATTACTGAACTCATATGACCTACTGCTTCAAATGGCCTCAGTATCAGAGGTATACAAAACAGCTATGGCATCACAGAATTGAGGCTGAGGTGGCAAGAACCAACTGGAAGTTATGGTGTTCAACCCACACTGCTCAAGCAGGGCCACCTACAGCTCACTGGCCAGGACCATTTCCAAATGGCTTCTGAAGATTTCTAAGGATGATAAGGCCACAAACTCCCAGGGCAATTCATGGAAGTACTCAATCATTCTCACAGCAAAAAGTGTTTCCTGATGTTCACAGGAAACATGACCTTCTTTGTCTTAGTTTGTTCCCACTGCTTCTTGTCCTATCACTGAGGTCCAAGGAAGTGAGCCTGGTTCTTTTTCCTTTACACGCTCCCTTCAGGTATTTATAGAAATTGGTAATACCACCCCTGAGTCTTTTCTTCTCTAGACTTAACGGTTCCAGTTCTCTCAGCCCTCTATCATGGGAGAAATGTTCCTATTCCTTAATCATCTTCATGGTCCTTCACTGAACACACTCCCATATATTCATGTCTCTCTTGTATTGAGAAGTCCAGAACTAACACTATTTCAGGGGTTTCATCAGAAGTGCTGAGCAGAAGAGAATAGCATCTCCCTCAGCCTGCTGGCAAAACTCACTGAAAACCAAGATACTGGTATCTCTTTGCCACGAGTCTGTATCGCTGGCTCACATCATGAAATCATCCCAAGCTGCTGTCCACCAGCACATACTGGTGATTCTTCCTCATCAGGTGCTGGGCTTCACACTTCTCCTTGCTGAAAAGTTACCTCATTTCTTCAGCCTGTCAAGCTTGTGCTGGATAGCAGCATGGCCCTCTGGCCCATCAGCCACACATGTGCCATTGTCAAGTTTGCTGACAGTAGGCTCTGCCCCATCATGCAGATCACTAACAAGATGTTAAACTGGACTAGACCCACTGTGCAGCCCTCTCTGTCTCCCCCCAGGGTAGTATTATATACTGGTCTCCAACCAGACTTTTGCACAGTGTTCACCATCACACTCAAGGCCCAGCCATTCAGCCAGTTTTTGATCCACTGTCTGCCCATCCAGCCCCTACAGCACCAGACTAATGGGCTATGACGAGGCTATTATGGGAAACGGTGTCAGAGATCTTATTCCCTGTCAGACACTAGCCACTGCTCTCCCCTGATCTAGAAAACATGTCAATTTATAAGGTCAGTGAAGTACAACTTCCCTTTCATAAAGACATGCTGTCTACTCTAGAGCTTCTTGTCCTTCATGTGCCTGAAAATGAGTTCAAGGATGACCTGCTCCATCACCTTCCCAGGGATCAAAGTGGGGCTGACTGGTCTGTAGTTCCCTGGCTCCTCCTTCTTGAAGATATGAGTGACAGACAGGGACAAACATTATATCTATACTGACACAATAAATTGCCAGCACATCAAAGTGGTCAGTTCCCTCTTAAGATGCAGTTAGCAATGGGGTAGCTGCTCTCTGCTGCTCTTAGATAAGACAATGTACTGACTATTTCATTAAGCTCACAGTACATTGAGTACGTCCATATGTGAAGTAAGTGCAGAATGGCTGAAGAAATGACAACAATCCTAGCCTCCTCATACAGTCTTTTGGGTAATAATGGTCTGCTGCTCTGCTTGTGAACACTGTATGTTTCACAAGTCACATGAAGAGACTAGTGTACTTCTTTTGAGAAATGTTTCAGTCACTTGATCATCTCTGTGGACCTTCATTAGACTCTCTCCAGTATACCTGTAAACCTGTACAAAAAAGCCCAGAATTGGGCTTCAAGGCATGGCCTCACCAGTACTGAGCAGAGAGAACCAATCACTTTCCTTGACCGGCTGGTAGCACCAAAATAGCTTAGAAACACCAAAGTTAAAAATGATAGCCAGCTTACATGGAAGAAAGGAGTCACCAGAGGGAGTCCCATTGGGATGTGCACTAGAACACATTAGAAATAAAAGCTGACTACAAAATCAAAAGGGTCTTAGAATTCCAAGTCACTAGAGTGCAACTGGCTTTTGTGAATGCAAAGTGATGCACACGAAGAAAAATAACCACAACTACCAACATCTTGCTATATATATAGCTGGTTCTCTTTTGAGAACATGAGAACCTTCCCACACAATACTGAGAAGTCACAGTTCCCTGATATAGGTAATTTAAATATTTAAATTAAAAATAATTAATAGTAATTAAAAATGTTAGAGGATTAAAAAGCAATTAGACAAGCCCATTAAGAGTATGCATCAAGAGCTGTAAGAGTTAACACACACATATGCTCCAGGCAAGGAAACCTTTGACTGACTGCTTACTGGAAAAACAATCTTTGGAAATTAACAAGGCACAGCTTCAGAATACTCTGTATTATGGCAGCAAAAATTACTTTTGCACTTTTGGTGCCAAATCCTTCCTGCTCATTTCCAAACATGGCAGACAGTTCACTATGAACTGCTGAGCTGTTACATTAAAATAATTATTTTAAGGACTGATTTTAGTTCAGACCACTTTGGCAGTATTATTCTTATACTGGCCTCAGAGATTTAACAGCAAAACTTAAATGGATGGCAATAACAAAAAGCTGAGACTAAGAATCACTTAGACTACAGCTTTTTTCAATTTCATCCTGTTCTTAAAGACTTGAATTAAACAACCACATAAAGCCACTTCATGACAAGCCAATAAATAAAGTAACACTGCACTCAAAAGAGTTTGCTACAATACTTAGGATCATTCTTCGATCAACTCCTTGTTCTAAGAACCCATAAGTACAAAAATTTTACTGAGATGGAAAGCATAACTAGATAAGGTACATTATCAAGTTTGGAAGAGGTAAAAGAGGCAAAGAAAGGTTAAGAAAAAAAAGAAGCATCACTCACATAGCATCACTGTTTATTATTTCTTCTTTAATTTTAACATATTCCAGTTGGCTCTCCTGATAAATCTTGAGAGAATTCTGAAGAATGAAAACACAGTTAAAATATGTCCATACTGAGAGCAAAAAAAAATGGCAGACACCTTACCTCTTCTAATGAAAACAGTGCCTGGCCAAAAAAGTTTAAGTATATTCAATGCAATTCAATATTCAATATTTCAGTTGGAAAGTCAGGTTATCTTCTTTCTTTAAAGGCAAAAGTTATAACAAACAAACACATTAATCTCTTTATGTCTATCTTTGAGTACATGCCTTGAACACCTAGCTGAATAGGAACTTGAAGCTGAAATCAAGATCATAACTATTATACACCATGCATTTTTCTGAAAAAGTGCCATCAGGACATCAGCTACTAATGCTTGCTGAGGGAAGAGCAGTTATAAAATCATTCTAACACAGAACACTAACTACATACAGCAACAAGAAAAATGTTAGTATCTTCATTATAAAAGCTACAAGAAAGAAACTGGGGTATTTTCTTCAGAAATTATAATAATGCCTAGAAAATACATACATGTAAGTAACTTGAACAATCTAAACTTTCTTCCCTGTACACTAAACCTCAGCTAAGCGATGGGAGAGAAATTAGGAATAAACTTCAGAAGATAATGATGTAAAATTAAACATGTGTTCAAAAAGGTAACAGAAGCACAACACTATTCTGCACAGACCCTCTTTCTTGGCACCTTTTCACTAGTGCAAGTTATATTCAATAATCTGACAAGACCAGAGCAGAAAACCAAAGGAGTCTGAATGTTTCTCATTCCTTCCTTCCTTCGTGAGGAAATAACCAAATAATCTGACCAAAAATTTTAAGAACTACAACAACCTGAACTTATTGCCTCTCTGAAACCTGAAGTAATTTAATTAATTTCACCTAACTTCACCAGAGCTACCTGTCTCAGTGAGCTAAAAATAAGAACAGAGTTCATTAAAAGTCAGCTTCATTAAGATGAGCATTAGGAATATGCATTTCTTTCAACAGAAAAAGCTCAAGTTATTTAAAAAAGCACACCTTTTTTTCTTCCAACTCTGCCTTCACGGAACCCAACTCTTCCTGACATTTTTCCAGAGGCAGAATTTTCTGTAACATCTTCTCCACTTGGCAACGAAGAGCAGAGATTTCTCTGAAATTAGATGTGCAATTTAAAAAGTTGCCAAAACCACAGATGCTTTGAAACTCGGCATTCTGATTCTTCAATCAAGCATGAGTATTTTGCTTTTATCCTATGGAAAAAATGCTGAGAGAGATACCTAAAAACTTTAATAGCTTCAATATTCTCATTTTTCCACCTATTTAAAGAAAATCCAAAATCTGATTTTAAAACATTACACTGAACCCAAAGCTAGAAGCAAGCAGATGGCATGTGCCACAGAAGTAGGCTGCCTACATTAAAGCGCCAGTAATAAGTGTCTCTGCATACACAGTGCTGTAAAGTAAGAGCAGAGTCCAAATGCCGTGTTTTTCAACAGGCAGGTTGGAGTCCATAAAAATTATACGCTGCCTCTTCCTCTATAATCATAGAGTAAGCAAGGGCACACAGACACAACTCTTAAGTCAAAACACTTCACACAAATATGGACGCTCCAAATAGCCATACATTTAACTACCACCAAAAGATGAGCTTCACATCTACACCTGGACTCTCACTAGCTCAGCACCAGGAAAGAATCACACACATGTAGAGGAAGGACAGATTTTTCTCCTCATCATACCTTTGCTAACTATGGCCTAGGAAGCATGGTAAAAGTACATACTAAAAGTGCAGCTTAGACCTATGGCTGTTGCTATGACACCGTCAGACTCCTAAAAGTAACCGCAACACAAAGAATATATCATCTTTAGTAATACATTTTTAGTAAACAATATAAATCCAACTTACCGTTCAGCAAATTGAAGCTGTTATCTCTTGTTAAGGCAGAAATTAAAAACAGTTTACAAATGTCCTTAGGTATATTTCAACCCAACTGCAACTTGCAAAGAAACATCCAGTAAAGACTTCCTCCCAGAAAAAAAACTCCCCAAGACTTGCAGAACTAAGTGTTTATATATGCATTTCAGTACATTTGAAGTGAATAAGAGCTTCTTCTGTTACATGAAAAAGATTGAGTAATTCTCAGCAACTCAGATTTCAAATAGACTACCATAATCATGTACCAGAAATAGGCAGATCTTAAGTGGATAGTTTTAATTCCAAAGGCCTATTTTCTTTACAAAATCCACCCAGTTTGTTCTTTATTAGAGATATAATCTCATAACCTAAACAGAAAGCCTCAAGCCTTTTTGTAAATGTTTTAGGTATACTAATCCTGTAAGAACACAAAGAGAAAACTAAAGGATATCAGTGCATTTCTGTTGATACTCTGTCAGCAAACGACTGTAAGAAAAGAAAAAACCCACACATTACTCATTTTCTCACCTGATTTTGACAATCGCAGGTTAGGGTATCTTTCCTTTTGCTTTATAGATAAATAGAGAAAGTGTAAGATTGGCTTAAATTTTCTGATAGTAGTCAATATAACCCTTTGATTTCATTAAGCCATTCAAACCTCAAATCAAACTGCTTTAAGTAGGAAAAAAAACCAACTGGCGATTACATGAAGTTGTAGCCATTAACTAATTGCAGCTTTAAAAAAAAAGTATTGCTTAGACAAAAGAAATAATGTGTATATATATATATATATATATATATGTATGTGTATATATATATATATAAAAGACACGTTTCCATACTTGAAAGGATGTTTTCCTGAAAAAGAACACACATCTCAGAGAAATAGTATGAAAGACCCTAAAAGGCTTTAATCTTTATATTATTCTCCTAGCAGCCATAAAGGGTAACACTTAGCCTGATGCAAGAGGGCCATGGGACAGCACCAAGGAAAGCTATTCCTTTCTTTTCTCAAATATTATGTTTTTTAAGAACAGAGAAAAGAAAGGACGAGAAAGAATAATACCATGGGAGTTACCCTATACAGAGAGGGCAGCATTACTTTCTATTGCAATAGTTAAGAGCAATCCAGTAAAGCAAAAAAGAAAGGCTCAGCTGCAAGTAGCTAAAGAAGAGGCAATTTCCACAAGAAATATATGCGCTGGCAGAAAGAAGAGGGACACAAAATGTACAGGTCAGAAAAGGAATTGCAACAGAGTAAAGGAGCTTTGAAAAAAGCATCCTAGTTAAGAGACCCAGTGTGCGCTGGCTGAAATACTCTGGAAATAGAATGCAGGACTGTCATTTAGATTCACTAAAGCCAGATTGATATGTATCTAGAAAAGGATACACAAGAAACAAACCACTACAATTAGGAGCCGTTGCATGGATATTGGGCCATATTATGGAGGTAAACATATCTTGATATATTACTCCATACTCCATACAATATGTTGATGGGTTTTGAGAAGAATTGGAAGCAAGCACAGAAAGGAAAGCAAACTGTAAGAAGGATTTTATAATCATATCATTCTGAACAATGTTCAGCTTCACTTTTCACATTCTGATATTTAATCCCAACAGAATTTCAGAATTTAATAATCAGACCAAATTCTGCTGAAGAAGTTCACATCTGTACTCAACTTCTAGTTCCCACATTCTTCACTACAGAAAAATGAAATAAGCAAGCACAATTAAATGAACAAAATAAATATAAATAAATATCAATAAATATAATCTGCTTCTGCCTTTAATAAATAAATCTCTTCAAAGAGTTGCTTCTGCCTGTACTTCTAATAATATTACAGGTACACAAAATAGCTCTGTTTACTGTCATTATACACAGATGTTTTACACAATAAATTAGTCTTACAGTCTAGATTTAGGACACGCTTGCGAAGAACTTTCATTTTGAGAAGCATTTAGTGTAGTGCACAAGCGAATATTCACATTCCAAAAATCATATCTCCTGCATTGGTGTAAGTCCTTAAGAATAAAATCCAAACAAACAAACAAAAATGCATGCAATTGTACTTACTCTCCATCAATTATTTTTTGCTTCAATGCAATTAATGCAGCTACATATTCATTCATATTCTGGAAGGAAGAGTCTCAAGTCAGTAAAGAACTTACACTCCAAAAATCAGTACTGTAAATAACCCCTAATCCAATGGCTAATTTTATAGAAAATTCAATAAACTGTCTTCATTCACGCAGAGAATGCAGGCTCCACAAGTAAGTATGCATCTTTAAGTGAGGCTTTGCTACAAAAGCTCTTCAAACTTTGCCTCTGCAGTAGATTATATACTAAATCCCTATAACGTTTTCCGTCAAAATTCAACTGACCTTTCGGCAGAATATCAGCAATAAACATTAGCTCACTTGAGATTTTCCAGTTTCTAAGCCATACTCATTCTAAGTGTGCCCTATGAAGTCTCAACAGGACCTTCTCTTCATTTAAAGGAAAAACAAAAATTACCCAAAGCGTAATACCATAAAAATACACACTCGCTTAAGAGCCCTCAAGGAAGTAATTTCTAAATCCTTATATTGCATCGAATCAAAGCCAACAGGACACAACTAGAAATTCCCTGATAGATCCCACTAAGCACGTCGCAGAGACACGAGTTACTTTTCCAGACTTCGCCTAGCTAAAACTCGACACTGCTGCTACTTTTAGAGCCCGTTTACCACGCACGCTATCCGCGTTCCCGACGGCACAGGGAGTGGTGACTGTGGTACCCGACACTTCCCACCAGCGGCCCGGCGATGATCCACTACCTCGTCTGTGAGCAAAAACCCCACTCCAGCGCCACAGGGACGGCGGTCGATGCCTACCTGCTGGAGAACACCGCAGTTGGCGCAGGTCCTGCCGGCGGCCGCAGTTTCGGCCGGCGGCGACGGCGTCTCTCCGGGCATCATCGTGCCCACGCCTCCGTGCGGCCCCGAGAGCCCTGCGTGTGCGCCGCTCAATGGCGTCACAGACCGCGCCACCGCTTTAGCTAGGACCCAGCTCGCCTTCATCTCCTCAAGAATGCTGTCCACTGCTGCCTGACTATCAGCAGCAGAAAAGACAGCAAAGAGTGGTCTCTGCAGAGACTGAGCGTTGAAAGCAACTGGTGGAGAGTGACTTAGTCCCCTGAAAGGCACGGCCTCAGCCACGCCCTTCTACCACTACTATTATTTCACCTTCTTCTCGGTGCAGGCACTTTTTGTAAGGGAACTACTGTGGGCCTGACGCAGGTGCGGAATAGGGCAGCTTCTTTTCCGTGGCGCAAGGGGAGGGACGGAGCCGCCGCTAGAGGGTCGCGTGGGGAGGAAAGGTGGGGCTGTGCGCGCGGGGGCGGCTATTCCGTGACAGTGCGGCCACGCTCTCTAATAAATTACACGAGGCCCGGCCGGGCGAAGCTGAGCTCCCCTGCGGCCGGAATCACCGAACATTGGTGATCAGCCTGAGGTGATACCGAAATCGGCCGGAAAATAAACTAATACAATTTGAAATATTTGAAAGCCGGCAGTCTTTATTACAGCTTTGAACACTTTGAGAGGATAGCTCCTCTAATCGGATGTGTGTAATGAAACTATAACAGGGCATTGATTCTATCATGATGATACATATCCATTACAACTTACTTCCTAGCTAATAGGTAAACATCACTGCCGTGGAAGTAATTTGCATGCGTCCGCCTCCTGTTGGAAGACCTTTTATAGTCCTAGGCAGTCATCTAAAGGGGTCTCTGATGCTCGTACTTACTGAGTGTCCCAATATTACAGCTGACCTTCCCTTGAACATTTTTTTTTGGGTCTGCATTGTTGCTTCTTGTTACATAACTTTGCCAAAAATCTCACTATATTACTCACTATCTATTTATCCACTGGTTCCAGCCACGTTTATCATCTTGTGCATACTTTTACATTCTTTTGGGTTTGGGTTGGTTTTTTTGCTAGTTAGTTTTGAAACTCTATCTAGGAACTTAAGGAGAACTGAAAATATATATCCTCTGTGTTATCTCTCAGAAGCTAATAACCCTTGTTACGGGGTGATGCTCTCTGCTCCCATGCTGCCAAGCTAGAGCTGCCTCCTAGACAAGGGCATGCTAAGCTGATGGCATTCCCTGACACGCATCCACATCCTAGTTTTTCAAACGGGAGCGTACCACTTCAGCTCACTCAGCATCTTGTGGGAACATAATACTCATGGGAAGAGATCAAGCTTTTTATTTCATCCAAGCATTTGTAAACACTTTTAATATTTAGCATCGCTTGTCACGACTGCCTGCATTTCCCACTTACCCTACATCTTTCTATAGCGAGTAAGCTTGGGAAAGACTTTATAGAATTACAGAATGGTTTGGCTTAAAAGGGACCTTAAAGATCATGTAGTTCCAAGGCCCCTGCCATGGGCAGGGACACATGCTGCTAGACCAGATTACTTATGTGTTTCAGGCCATGCTTTCAATCACTTAGAGGCACAGAAGTTTAAGTAGTAACTGCTTACTGTTGTGAAAAACACTAATCACTTGTTTTAAAATTTTAAAAGTTTAATAGTAATAAAATGGTTATAAAAATACTAATAAAAATTAGAGTAATAAGAATTTGGACAATCAGAGTTAGGACAATAAAGTACAATAAAAACAAAGACATATGGACAGTCCGGGTGCCTCCTGGGCAATTAAGCCCCGAAAGCACACATGCTGACAAAGGATTAACCCTTAAAAGCAATAGCCTGTTGCATATTCATATATTTTATACATGATGCATAAATTATTTTCAAATAAAGGGTGTTCTCTGGTTATTATCAACTTCTCCCCCTTAATCCTATTGGCTTCTCAAAGTCAGGAAGGAGGTGGAAGAAAGTTGGTCTTTTCCGATAAGGAGGCAATAATTTTTCTCTTGGAGATTTAGGTGTCTTGTTGCTGTTATCGCTGTGCAAAGAATTTCTTGATTATCCCTTTCTTGAGCTAGTTAAAGTATCTTACATCACATAGTTTCTATTTTAACATTGTGTTGTAACCTAAAACTATATTTACCACACACTTAAAAAAATACACTACTACTAATTAATACAATGCAACACATACAGTATTCCTTTTAATATCTGCGAAGAGCCAATCATTTAATATGTATTTTTCACACTGTATTGTCCCACCCTGTGTTACTGTTTAAAGTACATAGAAATCGCTCAGTATTTAGCAGACAGGACAGATGGTTGCACAAAGTCCAAATTAGTTTGTAGGAAGGACATTTCTGTTCTTGTGAGCCAGCGAAGGCTTCCTGAAGATAAGGAAATCCTCCTATCTCTCTTAAGGAAGATACCAAGGCTATCACCATGACAATGTGAAGAAAGAGAGAAAATAAAGATATGGACTTTGATTTGCTCAGGGAGTGACGTGGTTCCTTTTCACCTATTGAGAGTTTTGTTTCCTTTTTATAACCAATGGGCAGTGTATGTGTTTGTTAAGCAAAGGTAAATATCTTGTAAAACTATAAAGGCAACATGTTGCTTTGATAAATAAATCTATATAGCCTTCTTTGCGCCAAGTGGTGCTCTATAATGACATTAGTTTGTGAATTTTTTCTATTCAGCTGATGGTGTTGGACTTAATTCACTGCATGCTGCTGCTTACACTTCTAGTCTGCCTGAAACTTTCTCTGGCTTACAATTTATCCAGTTGCTTTTTCACTATTGTCTTCCTTGTAGTTTATACATATTCCTTAGGGGAATCAATATTCATTTCTAGTTCTGAAGACCATGTTAAATCTTCCTTCTGATGAACAGTAATGTATAGAGTTGCACAGTTACTTGGACCTTGATGAAGACATTGAAACTTGTAACTCCTGTATAAGTGCTCTGATGAAACATTGTGTGTCAGGCTTTCTCTTTCTACTTTGAGAGCCTTACAACAGTATAATAAAATACCGTTTAGAATTACAATGGAGTTTGTGTGTCAGTGTCACTGAAATGAATTTACCCTCTGGGCTAAGCTTCCCATGTGAAGTGCCCTTCCAAGGGAATGGAGCCGAATACTACTTGTTTTAGATTTGAGAATTTGGGCCTGTAGTCAGGTCAGGTAACAAGGCACTATATTAAGTGAGTTTCTTAAGGACAGGGTTCTGCAGAAAGAAGCAATGCTATATCTGAAAGAAATTAGTAGATAAGATGTTTTCAGAAGAATTCAATGTTTCTTGTAACTATTCATGCTTGAAGTGAAAATGTTACCAAAATTTTGGTTTAACATTAAAGATATCCAAATTTTCTAGTTGTTTAGACTCCACAGAATCATTTAAGTCAGAAAAGTCCTCCAAGATCATCAAGTCCAAGTTTTTACCAATCTCCACCTTCTCAACTAGGCCATGGCATTAAGTACCACATCCAATATTTTCTTGAACACCTCCAGGGATTGGCAATACTACTGCCTCCTTGTGCAGCCTGTTCCAATCCTTAACAACCCTTTCCATGAAGAGATTCTTCTTATGTCCAATCTAATCCTCCCCTGGCACAGCTCAAGACTATGTCCTCCTGTCCTGTTGCCAGTTGCCTGGGAGAAAAAAAGGAAAAACGGCTGACTCTACCTTGCTACAACCTCCTTTCAGGCAGTTGTAGAGCACAATAAAGGTCCCCCTAAGCCTTTTCTTCACACTAAACAACCCAGCTCCCTCAGCTGCTTCTCCATGGACTGATGCCCTAAACTCTTCACCTTCTTTGTTGCTCTCCTCTGACACATTCCAGCACCTCAGTGTCTTACTTGAATTGAGGTGCTCAGAACTGGACACAGTACAGAAGGTACAGCCTCAACAGTTCCAAGTACAGGATGGCAATCACTTCCCTAGTCCTGCTGACCACACTATTGCTAATACAGGTCAGGATACCATTGGCCTTCTTGGCCATCTGGTCACATTGATAAACGCATTTACAGCCAGCTGTTGATTTATACCCTGTCAGGATCCGTCCTAGTGAACGGATGACCTGATGGTTCGTAGGAGTGATCTCAGAGTGCAAAAACCAACACGGTACAAGGGGGTTTGCAGTGATAATCAAAACAAATGCAGTTTTATTGAAATAACCACAGCAAAAATGTGATAGAGGGATTAAGGGAGAGAAAAAGAGAGAGAAAGAGAGAGGAGGGGGGGGGGGGGGGGATATAGCTACCAACGCAGAGACAAAGTCCTTTGGTCCAGTCCAGTCGAGGGTCCGTCTGTTATGCTGTGGAGGTCTCAAAGGCACAGTTCATTTGCACCCCAATTATACTCTTTTTTGTTGGGGGAAGGGAGAATAAATTTCACAATTGAAACAAAGGATAGAAAGGGGGGTACACAGAGTCCAAGCTAGGCAGCAGGCAAGAACCATTGTGTTCTTGGTCCAGTGGTCACAAACTGCAGGCAAACATCTCGGCTTGGTCAGCTTGCCTCCCCCACACACCTCCCCCGAGTTGGGGGTTTCAGTCCCAGTCCTTGGAAGGAGGAGAGGGGCCTTTTAGGAGTTTCATGTCTCAGTCCTTGATGGAGAAGCTTCTTACATCTCCGTCTGTCTGTCACGGTGGTTGTAAAACAGGTGAGGGTCTTCTGTGGGAGACCACCTGAAACTCAGGAGAACTCCAGCCAGGCCAAGAGGTGGTCCAGCTTCCCAAGCTGCTGTTGTTGCAAACGGGGCACAGTGCCCCCTTTTTAGCATACAGCAAACACACCTGTGAAAACAAATAACACTGTGCTTTCAGGTCTCAGGGCCTTTGGCATGTGACTTTCTGCTTCAGAGACAGAGATTCTAGACAGGGGGTGTGTCTTCTCTTCAGTGGTCTCCCAATGACGATCGTGAGGCAGATGAGGGAAAATTCGGACAGACTCTCACACACCCCCACATCCTTTTCTCCTAGGCAGCTTTCCAGCCACTCTTACCCCAGCCTGTAGAGTTCCATGGGGTTACTGTGACCCAAATGCTGGACCTGGTACTTTGCCTTCTTGAACCTCATACAGTTGGCGTTGGCCCATCAATCCAGCCTTTTTCCAATCCCTCTGCAGAGCCTTTCCACTGTCTAGCAGATCATACACTCCTGTCCAACAACTTAGTGTTGTCCATGAGTGGACAATTGAGAGTACACTGGATTACCTCATCCAGATCATCAATAAAGATATTAAACAGGGCTGGGCCCAATACTGAGCCTCAGGGAACCCCTCTAGTGACCACCCACCAATTGGATGTAGCACCACTCACCACATCTCTCTTGGCCCAGCCATCCAGCCAGTTCTTAATCCAGCAAAGACTGCACCTGTCCCAGTCATGGGCTGCCAGCTTCTCCAGGAGAATTTGTTGGGAGACAGTATCAAA